CTCCTTTTTGGAGTGGGGCAGATCTGCACTCAGAAAAAAACGCCGTATCGAAAAGAAAATCTAATATCCCGGGTTTTGAATACAACAAGAATGCAATTAAATAAGCATAAATGTATTTAAGAAGATTTTTGAATGGGGCCCATATTAAATCTGAATATAAAACACCTGAAAATAAATAGATTACAACATTAACATATTTAGATGTGGGAAATATCTGTATCTTAAATAAATAAATAAAAATGCACAATTGTACACTTTCTTTTAACGATTTCCACTCTCGGATTAAATCCATTGGTACACCTTTTGGAATCTAGGTGTAAATATACAAACAATTCAGGGCAGGGCTCTTTTCTCTGGGTGTTGGGGTCTGTGGGGTATTTTTTTCGGCTTGGTATTTCCTCCATTGTTGATTTGTTTGAGTACCGTACCGTGCCGGACATACCATAAACTAAAACACGTTTCTTGACTCGTTCCTCCGCTTCTCCTACTTTTCTTTTTATTTCTTTATATTTTTTTCATGAAAATGCAATACGAAAGAAAAACCCGTCTTGAGAGGCCCCCCTCTCTTTGGAGTCTCTTCTCTCTATTTTGTTTTCAAAGAGAGCAGCGAGAGACCCCGAAATTATAGAATTTCAAAGACGTGTGAAACGTGATATTATTTTAGTCTTTGGGATTTTTGCATTTTACGAAATATTAGACATCTTTTACGTGCGAGATCTGCCAAAAAATAGTGAATATTGAAATGATGGAATGAGACGATGAGACGATGAGAGATAAAAGATTGGGAGTGATGAAGTACGGAAGTAGGGACTCGATTGGAGGGAATAAGATATGTTACGAGTATATTTCTATTGTCACAGGGATAGACCTTCAGGCTCTAAACTATGCAAAACATAGAAGCATACAACCCTATACAACCCTATTTGAATGCTATTTGATGAGTAAAACATGAGTAACGGTAGAATGTAATGTTGATGTTTCCATCACGAATTTCAATGGAACAAGTGCTCGTGATGTCCTTTCGCTTAGGGGAAACTTGGAAGCAGCATTCGGGGACATTTGTGGATGATATTTAAGGGGTTCCACTGGGATATCCCAAGAACCATATGACATCAAATAGTTTTGCCTTCTCTTCTATAGCTTTGAAATGCTCCCCGATCTACTAGATCTAGATTTTTAAAGAAAGGTAAATGGAAGAGGTGACGAATATCAAGGAATGTATTCTTCTATTGAAAAAGTTGATAAATATGTAATGTTTTGTATTGAAATACTTCTGGGGGAACTCCATTTTTTAAAACATTCTCAATATCAGAGTTCCATTCAAAAAGTTCCTTAACTGGAAGTCTCTAAGTTCTCTTCGATCTTTCATCGCCTTATGATAGGGAAACGCACTGTAATTTTGAATGCATTTAATGCATGAGATCACCCCCGCACAGAGAGACAGAGAAAGAGAGAGAGCCTTGGGACTTTTTTCGTCTGCTTGTACGTTTTATGCATTCCAAAAAAAAAAAAACACACATACAATGGAAAACGTGCGGAACGTGTTTATATGTCGCTCTCGATCTCTCACTGGGGCCTCTGCTGCTACCACTCAATCGATCATCACTCACTCCCACACAGGCACCAAAAATTATGGTGAGGCATACGAGAGACGATCGAATTGTCATCTTTGGGATTGTTGCTCATTTGGGAAACTACTGGAGCATACTGTACGCTCCTTACTTGGCAATCCTTGACCAATCCTCAACCGCCTCTATCGTTTCCAATTCCAGGCCTTTGCCTCAAAGCACTCAGATGCCGAGTCGCTGCTGTACAACATGAACATGAAGTACTATTACTACACGAGAACACGTGGACTCTTCCGCATTTGTTATCCCAAGGAACGGCCGCCGGCCTCAGCAGGTACAGAAGTCGGATGGAAGACACCCGAAAGATGCATATATTAATCTCTGATTTGATTTGACTCGTTTATAGTGCCCACATATCTGTCACCGATTGAGACACACTGCTCGAACATTGACTACTTTCCGCAGGCGGAGGATGAGAAAATCGCCAACGAGGATGCCACATCGCGACTGCATTTGGCGCGCTCCTGCATTGCCCTGTTTATCATTAGTTTTGTGACCATTTTCTGTGCCTTTTGGACCGGTCTGTCCGGCTGCTGGAAGCGCTCTTCGGGCGCCATAACTGCCACATCGATATTGTTGCTGGTCACGTGCCTTTTGGCTGCTGGGGCCATGGGTCTCTGGCATACGGTGGAGTTCTTTGAGAAGGAAAAGGTCGTTGGCGAGGATTACTTTCAGCAGTGGAATACGGTATGTACATACAACATACCTCTCACGGAATGCCTCTCTAATCTGTATACACCTCAACTGAGCAGGTTCTTCGGGACAATACAAAGATTGCCTACGATTGGTCGTACATTGTGGCATGGGCTGGCATTGGGACATGCCTCCTGTCGGCCATACTGCTGTCGGGTGCCGCCGTATGTCTGCGCAACGAGCGCGAGAAGGAGGAACAACTGAATCTGCAGTACTTGATGCCTGGTAAGGAAGAGTCTCAGGGACTCTATTACACCCCACGCACCAGTATGCCTAACTAACCCTCTTTCGATTGCAGTGTACTCGCAGAAGCAGCCACCGTATCCGCCGTATGCCAATTATGCACAGCCACAGATCTATCCGGGTCCCTACTACCATGGCTCGCAATATGGACCCTACAACTATTAGGAGGAGGGAGAGGTCCTAGAGGTAAAGAGAGCATCATCAGCAGAAGAAGGATTCAACGAAACGAACGAAGGAAAGACATAAAGCAGTACCCCGCCCGCACGTCTTTACCCTGCAATATATATCACAAAAAAGGAGACCAGGATATATCAGAGATCATATATATATATATATATATATATATGTATAGTAGATAGATATATGTATGAGAATTCAGGGTCCAAATCCCCAGAGAGAAGGAGAAAATTTCAACAAAATTACATTCTGAAAATAATCTATTCATATGAATCTTTTTTTTTTTAGAGCTATAGAGCTATATATATATTGATATACATATATATCGATTTTGTGTGACTTGAGTCAAAAGGTTGCATCGAAGATTTTGGTGCGCAAAACTTTTGTGGCGCCTAAAGAAGAATTTTTAGAGGAACCGAAAGTAAGGAAGAATGAATGAAATATGCAAAGTAAAAGACACACAACAAACAATAAAGAGTTAATTTATTGTAGCGTGTAACGTACATGTGTAGCCTTATAATAATAATATTAATAATACTACTATAAACAAATGAAAAAAAGATAAATATGTATGTAATCGTAAGCTGAAAGTTTCCGTTTCCCCCCCTACCCCCGCCACCCCATTGTGTAATGTATATGAATGTAATGCGCGACAAGCTTCTAATTTGTCTTCCAAGTATAGTGCATATTGTATGTAGATCTGTACGTTTAATGAATAAAAGTTTTCTTACGTTAATCGAGGAGTCTCTTTATCGCCGTTGCCAGCCGCGGGGAGGAGCAAAAGTAAAAGAGCAAAAGTTCGTTAACCCTCTGCTGAGCAAGGGTTGCGCGGTCCTTTTCATGGTCGAGGCTGCATCTCTACGCTCTAGAAGGCGGCCAACTTTGCCGACAGCATTCAAAATATGATGCGCTAAACGTTGATTAAGGCGACATCTCCCAATCGGATTGTGTCTCTTAAGACTCAGGTCATTTTTCGAGAGTGTAGTACCTGGCAAAGGTTTCTAGGAAGATGAATTCCGAATTTCGGTAGAATGAGGAGCACTCCATGCATATTTTGAACATCCTGCTCCTTCTCCAAGAGGTCCCCCTATCCGCTCAAAATATTGTCCTGTTCTTTAATAAACAATACCCAACAATGTTCTTTACAAATCCGCTGACAAGGATCTCACACAATAAAAATATGGCGAAAAGGCGGAAGGATGGTTTAAGCTTTCAGCGTAGAGATGATAAAATGTATTGAGATATCGATATATCGTGATATATTTCAAGGTTATATTTTAATATTTTGATATTAATAATAATGATATAAATAATGATTACGTACGATAGTGCAATTATTAGTGATTTTCATGCACGTAAAGTTCGTCAAAACGATAACTCCTTAAAAAATCATTATCGTTTCGACAACATATGACGACATTTTTGACGATTTTCTTTAGTCAGAAATGTTGCTCGAAAACATTTAAGCCTGCTGCAGCAACACTGTTATACATAATACAATTTTACGTTCTTACCGTTGTCAACATCTAATTTGTATGGGCAGTTTGCTACCAGCAATATTTATCGAAAAATTATCAACACTGTCGCGCAACGTGACACGGAATGAGCAACAATCTGCATACACTGGAGAAAAGGATATAATAGGTTTGAGGTAAGTTGTGTCTTCTCAGGCTCCAATATATGCAGAAACTAGTCAGTCTCGTTTTAAAGCTATTTCAACTAAATTTTGCAGTGCATGGTCTTACAGCCATCAAGATTAGGTATCGGGATCGAGACATAAATATATACAGGAAACATATCAAATGCATGAATAGGTAAAAAAAAGGCAATCTGGGAGAGATTATTATGAATTACGTTTCAAATTAGCTTGGATAACAGAATTTTAATATTAATGAAAGGAAGTAGGGTATCCGAATGTCCGTACTCATAGCTGAATCCTGTTCATCAGCAACAATGACGTAACATTTCATACACACTACGTTTCATTCCGTGGACACTTTACGTTTTATTCCTTGACCTTTTTGTTCAAACCATATTTTATAAAGAATTAAATTAAAAGCAGTGCTTCAAATTTTCTAATCTAGTAGAAAATTGTTGAATTTATCGGATAAAATTATTTGTTCAGTGCTGAGAGTCTGAGCTAGATAATAACATTAAACTGAGTATCAAAATCGAGAAAATCTTCTTTTTCCATGGATGGTTTTACAACACTCTTTTTATCTGCCCTAAACGACCCTACAACACTAGCATATTGTTTATGTCTTAAAATCTATTTTTTTGCGTGATGGCCGAAAAAGCAGAAAAGGCCAAGATAAATGCTCAGATCAAGCATGTTCCGAAAGATGCACAGGTGATAATGTCCATACTGAAGGAGCTGAATGTCCAGGAATATGAGCCGCGCGTGGTAAACCAATTGCTGGAATTCACTTTCCGTAAGTGCCGCCAAAAAGTGCAACTAACGCTGCCTTAAAACGCGTGAATACAATATAAATACTGACTAAACAACATTTTTTGTAGGATATGTGACCTGCATATTGGACGATGCCAAGGTGTATGCGAATCATGCACGCAAGAAGACCATCGATCTCGAGGATGTCCGCCTGGCCACGGATATGGCGCTGGACAAGAGTTTCACCGGTCCACTGCCGCGTCATACCCTGTCGAAGGTAGCCGAGATACGGAATAGCATGCCACTGCCACCGATTAAGCCGCACTGCGGCTTGCGTCTGCCCCCAGACCGTTACTGCCTCACCGGTGTCAACTACAAGCTGCGGGCCACAAATCAAGCCAAGAAGATGCCCAAATCGGCACTGGAGGCGCGCGCATTGAAAACCGTCGTAAAGCCCGTGGCCAGTGCCAATGGGCCGAAGCGTGCCCACTCTGTGGTGGCAAAACAGCAGGTGGTAACCATACCCAAGCCCGTCATCAAATTCACAACCACAACGAAGAATGTCCCTGGGAATGCAGACACTAAGACGGACACCAGTTCCGGTGGCGACATGAAAATGGAGGTGGACAGCGATGCGGTGGCCGTGGGCAGTATTCCGAGCACCAGTGCCAGTGCCCCAGGCGTCAGCTCGGCCGTAAAGCGGGAACGCGAAGAGGAGGAGTTCGAATTTGTCGCGAACTGATTGAACAAAAATACAAATTAATTATTAAAGTATATTTTCAACATCTTCCGTAGTAAAAAAAAACATTGTTTCGATTGTGTCTTTTCAGGCAGTTGCACTTGTTTGAATCTTTTTTGTTTTCTTGGGCATTGGCATGAGGGGAAGACGTATAGGACATATAGGAGACGTCTTCCTAACAAACTAGAATACCCAAGACAAGAACAAACGATTCAATAAAATGCAACTACCTGATCTCTTGGGTCTATAAATATTTTTGTAGTGTATGGGGTGTGGTATGTATGATGTTCATTTCAGGGCTAGAATGATGCAGCAGCCAAGATCCATAATCTGCAAGTACTCGGAGCCGCCATCCTGCAGCCGATAGCAGCATTCCTGCAAAGAAGAGAGCTAAGTAAAGCCATCGCTCGGGCTAAAACTCCCCCAATACTTACGCCCAGCTTCTCGCAGATCTTTGCCTTCTGCGGATCGGTGAGGTTCGGATGATGGACAATAAACTCCACCAATTGTTCCATCATCTGGCCTACACTGTACGCCGAATAGCCGATGTCGCGTACAAACTGCTCGAGACGCTCATAATTCCCCGAGCGGCAGACGTCCATAAAATCATCAAGCAAGTAGTCCGGTATGACGCCGGACATTTCGAAAAGATCGGCGGTGTTTATGGTGTGTTCTGAACCTTGGAGACGGAAGCATGACTGAAGAGTGGTTATAGCGCGACGCAGATCGCCGCCGGATATCTTGACAATTGTCTTGTACGCATCCGGATCGATTTTGACGCTCTCCAGCTCGCAAATGTGCTGCAGCCGGGCAATGATCTTTTCCTCGCCGAGCGGCTTAAAGCGAAACTTGGAGCAGCGCGACGTGATGGGCACAATGATGCGCGACACATAGTTGCAAATGAGGCAGAAGCGTGTGCTGCTGCTCTCCTTCTCCATGGTCCGACGCAGCGCCGACTGAGCGGCATGCGTCATCGAGTCTGCCTCGTCCAGGATGATGATCTTGAATGGTGGCACTGGGCGGCCATCGGGACGTACATGGCTGGCCGAAAGCTGGGAGAAGTTCTTGATTTTGGTGCGCACCACATTGATGCCACGCTCATCGGATGCATTCAGCTCGAGTATGCGATCCTTATACATGTCGCCAAAGATCTGGCGAGCTGCTGCCAGGATGGTGCTCGTTTTTCCCGTGCCGGGTGGACCGTAGAGCAGCATATTGGGCAGATCGGCACCCTCCACACACTTCCGGAGCACGGCCACCACCTCCGATTGCTCCACCACATCATCAACGCTTCTGGGGCGGCTGAAATTAACAACAAATAAGCATCAAATCTGATTTCCCCATTCGATTCAATGGGACCTACTATTTCTCCACCCATGGAGCCGGTGGCTTGCGACGTTCTACGGTACCGCCTTGAGGTTTGTCCGACCCGCTGCTTGCGCCAGATTTTCCAGTCTTCAAAAATGCCTGCATCTTGAGATGATCAATCACAATAAAGTTCAACGCAGCGTTTGATTTCTAATATTTGGAAATTTGGATGCAAATTTTGCACATTTGCTAGCATAATGGTAGGAAAAAGAGGGTATGGACTACAAGCAAAACCGCCCAGAAGAGCAATCTCATGCAGGGTAGAATCCACCCCTATTTCCCAATATACCTTGAAGGCGAAAAGCCGATTTTGTTTTGGCGCGTCGTAAGACGATAGCATGCTATCGATTGAAAAATCCGAAAGGGTGGCAGCACCTGCTTATTTTTGTTGTCGTGCCGCCACTGCATTTTGTGTTTTTTTTGTTGTATTGGATGCTCCTCTTCTCGCCCCTCGCCACCCCCTCGTATTACAATTGATAAGTGCAGCACTCACAGAATATATATTCCAAAGGATATAAATAGAGCAGCAGCGTCGTCAGCTGTGGAAACTAACATGATAAGACGTGCCCCCGAGTGGTTATAGAGCGGGAAGGGACAAGCCGATTACGATTCGATTTGATTTTTGTTGTTCCCTTTTTTCTTCTTTTTGTCACACCATTTGACATCGTTGCCAAAACGCTGCCGCTGCTGCTGCTGCTGTTGCTGCCGCCGCTGCCGTGCTATTGTCGTTGTTATTATGTAAAATCCGTACGGAAGCAATTGGACATCAAACAAAGGCATCGGAAAATCATCTCCTGGACGCCCAACACAGCAGCAGCTGCGCGAAAGTTGAACGGCCACCAGAGGCAGCAGAGCAGGCCATCAACAGGTCACGCGACCCTGAGACTAGCGTTAATAAATAGCCTTGAAAGAAAGGCATTTGCCATTGCCATTGCCATTGCCATCTGAGACTCGTGTGAGTATTCGGAGATTGCTACGTGGGTTGTTTTATTTTTGAGTTACTTCAGTTGCAGTTCCTCGCCGATTGAAGTCATGACTTCGGCCGCAGCCACAGACACAGCCCAATCGCAGCATCCCAGTGCCAGTGCCAGTCCCAGTGCCAGTGCCAGCGATGAATCCACAACGACTGCCGCTTCAGGCTCCTCCAGTGGACGGCATCAGCTGCGACCCGTGAAGTACGACTATGCCGATTCATTTGCCTGCACCTACATTGTCTCTGTGGTGGCTGCCTCGGTGGCCGAGCTGGCCACATATCCCTTGGACCTAACCAAGACGCGGCTGCAGATACAAGGAGAGGCGACAGCAGCCACAGCCACAGCCATCACCACCAGCGGCAGCACTACTACTCTCCCAGGGGCCAAGGGCAATGTGAGTAAGAACCTTTTGAGTTGAACGAACGTTCGTTTCGTATGTGGTATGCTTGCCTTTTGGTTGCTCTTGGTTTTGATGTGCTCTCTGTTCTGTTATTTGTATATTGTGACTCTCTGTCGCTGTCGCTGTCACCGTCTCTGGCTTTGGTTTATCCTCCCATCCACTGTTGTGCCTGCCTTTCCTCTAATCCTCACTCACACACATACACACTCATGTATATATATGTATATATATTAACACTGTGGCTGCTTCTATCTACTGATTAATCGACTGTCCACTAATCTGTATCTGTAGCTGAGATAAGATTCCCGAAAAATTCCCATAAACGAAAGACGATAGAGTAGTATTTGGATAATACATTTAATATACCCCGGGGTTGGGGGCCCGGTCCCCTTTCCCCCCACTTGTATGTTTCACTCATTCCCCCTATCCCTACCCTATCCTACGCCCCCCTGTTTCCATCATACTATTCTGTGTACGTGTATGCGTGCGTGTTTCAATGTACTATGTATATACGGCGATGATGAATATATACTACAAATACTACAGCAAAAATCTCTCTATACTATATACAAACCAAAAACCCAATCAATTACCTACCAATCAATTTACCAACCAGATGCAATACCGCGGCATGGTGGCCACCGCCTTAGGCATTGCACGCGAGGAGGGCGCCCTCAAATTGTGGCAGGGCGTGACACCGGCGCTCTACAGACACGTCGTCTATAGGTGGGCAAACAAACAACCAAATAAAAAAAAGAACAAATAATTAAACACTAAAAGAGTTCTCATTGTATATCCACACACATCAACATTGCCTGTGGCATCCTCTGACTACTCTGCTAGCAGCAGCCTCCTGGCTCCAGTTGCTTTGATTTAATACGCCTCTGTATCCATATCCGTATCCCTATCCTGCAGCGGCGTACGTATCTGCAGCTACGATCTGATGCGCAAAGAGTTCACACAGAACGGTAGCCAGGCCTTGCCCATATGGAAGTCTGCCTTATGCGGAGTCACAGCCGGCGCCGTTGCACAATGGCTCGCCTCGCCCGCCGATCTAGTCAAGGTTCAAATCCAAATGGAGGGACGTCGCCGTCTGATGGGTGAACCACCGCGTGTCCACAGCGCTGGTCATGCGTTCCGCAGAATTGTCCAACGTGGCGGCGTGAAGGGCCTGTGGAAGGGCAGCATACCGAATGTACAGCGGGCCGCTCTGGTCAATCTGGGCGATCTGACCACCTACGATACGATCAAGCATCTGATTATGGATCGACTGCACATGCCCGACTGTCACACCGTCCATGTGCTGGCCTCTGTGTGTGCGGGCTTTGTGGCAGCCATTATGGGCACACCCGCTGATGTGGTAAAGACGCGCATCATGAATCAGCCCACAGACAACAAGGGAAAGTAAGTATCCCACTCGAGTATGCAAGGAATCGCAGATCTTTAATGGCTTATCTTTCAGCGGGCTGCTCTATCGTGGGTCTGTGGATTGTCTGCGACAAACGGTGGCCAAAGAGGGATTTCCAGCGCTGTACAAGGGATTTCTGCCCTGCTGGATAAGGATGGCGCCCTGGTCGCTCACTTTTTGGCTATCCTTCGAGCAGATACGCAAAATGATTGGAGCTTCTGTCTACTAAAAGAAACCACAATATAGTACATGCAATACAATGATATATATGTGTGTTTTTAAATCCTGATGTACATACATAGCATATGTATCTGGTACTTTAGATCGTTCGTTTGTTTGTTCGGTTTGCGACTCTGCAAGTCTAGAAAAGAAGCCTGTCTGTCTGTTCCTCAATTTCTCGCCCTCGCGCGACAGAGAGAGAGAGAAAGAGGGCTTTCCTAACCATTTTTCAGCAGCTATCCTTCCATCCCCTTTTAAACTGTAAGCAATTCAAACACTATTTCGTGTTCCTTTTTTGTTATTGTTGTTGCCCCCAACAGAATTATAAAACTCTATACAAATAAAGAGAGAAAATTGTTATTTTGAAAGATTTTAGATCCCATTCTTGGCTGTCGGCTCTCTTTCCCACTCAAACGTTCGGACCAATGCTGGGGAAAAGGGACAACTCTCTATTTTCAGAGCATCATATTTCCTCTCTTTTCCACACATTTGTTCGGACCAATTTCCGAGACTTATTCTTTGACGACAGCCACAAGCGCACAAGCGAAAAGTCCCAAAGAGTATGATCGAGAACGAAAACAAAAGACATGTCGTGTGCATGACAAGGGACGTGGCTGCTCGACTGGGAGACACGCCGACAAAGGTGTTTTGTCTTTTCCGACTAAATGCAATTTAATCTCAATATTTTCCCTCTTTCCCACCCATCTATTTCAGCCCACTTTCTTGTGACAGAGACAACACTATTGTTGGTTTTTAGATCTCAATATTTTTGGTACATAAATCTCGTATCTCGTATCCAAGGTCCAGCTTCCAGTGGTGCCATCAAACAAACGGAAACGGAAACAAAAACAAACAAAGACATACTAATATTAAACCTTACGGACACACATACACACATATGTACACAGATGATGCATACAGGCTAAGTATATAATATATATATATATATATATATCTCGTATATATCTAAAATTGCAATAACTTTTACATTTTAAAACACTGCATAATGGAAACGATGTACGACGCTACGACAGAGATGCAACGTACAGGTGTCTGTATCTGATCTGTTTGTGAACGACATCCGGATGTCCAGCCTTCCGTCCGAAAAAAGCAAAATAATTCCCTATGGGGCGTGTGTGTTTTTGCGGTGCAGTGTGCTTATGGGGAATGAATGGGCAGGAGCGGGCCTCCTGTGCTCCCCCCCTTAGAATTGGTCTCTGTGTTTTTGCTTTTGCTTTTGGTGTTGGTGTTGGTGTTGGTTTTGGGATCCTTAATCTGTGGTGTCTGCGGGTGTGTGCTGCTTGACTAGACGCTGCGGAACGCTGAGGCAAAGGGCTACGCTACCATGAAAGGGTGCTGCCGCATGCTGGCTTGACTCATTCCAGTCCCAGCACCCAATTGATGCCTAAAACTATGAAGAATATGAGCGGCTGCCAGGCCACCAGCCAACGGATCCAGTCCAGCAAACGGCCATACAATACATGCGGTTTCTCCCATCTGCATACAAAGAATTATATTTCCATTAGAGATTGTTTTGAAAACAGGCTGGCTGCTTTTCTTGGCTTACGGATTGCGGAACATTTTCTGTAGATCAACCTTTTCCTTGCAGTAGGGACACGTCTGCTTCTTGCCGACAATACACCAGCCCCGTATGCAGAACTCATGGAAAACATGATTACACGACAATTTGTATGTGTTCTCAATGACGCCCTCCTCCTTTTCAGAAACCAGCAACTGATTGCCGCACACGGCGCACACATTCTGCTCCAAGTGTCGCGTTGGAATCCCCTGCGGGGCATAGTACTGTGGCAACAAAAGGGAGAATATAATCAAATTATGCGCGAAAGCTGAACAAACACTTACGCCAATGGCTGCTGCCATTTTGTCCGAACAAATTTCGGATATGTCGCGACCAAGCACCCCAATGTAGAGGCCATAGAAGCAGAACATAAGGCCCACATCCATCCAGATATTGGGCAGCTGTGAGAACAGATAGTTCATGCCCATGAAGGCGGCCATGATCACGAGGTAGCCAACCAGGCCCAGTCCATAGCTAAGCTTATAGATGAAGTAGAACCATTTGTAGACGAGTCTGCAAAGGATTGGCATGGATATTGGACATTGGGGCAGGGCCTTTGATTAACGGGAATGACTCACCTTGGCGTTGTGCCCTGAATGGGCTTGCTTATCGCACGGCGCATAACCAGCGCCGTAATGATTGTGAATATCACCCAGATTACAATGAAACGTATCCATCCAAAGAAGCACGAGATCGTGAACGGTATGATCCACATGGCCAGCAGGGTAATCAATGAATAGGAGCTATAGTGGCGCTTCTTCCACTCCACCAGTATTACCTGGGCAATCACCACGGTGACAAACAGTATGATCACCATTTCCGAGTGCATCGCATCGTGGCCCCTGTGCTTTTCCACCATCAGCTGGTGTTCGGCTCTGCAAAATCAAGAAAAAGGCAGGCGGCTACAGTTGGAGGACTTCAGATTGGTCTCCACAGAGAGGGAAAGGGGGGCCTCTCACTTACCGCATGCGCTCCTCCGGCGTCATGTCGTCCAAGGACTGAAGGTATAAATATGAACATTATCATTAGGCTGCGATGGGGCCACATAGTCCAGTTTGGTCCGGACCGAAATGCCGAAGACGACTCACCTTGTTAAGGTCCACCGGAGCATGCAGATCCATGTGCTGTTGGTACATGTCGTTGTTGGTCCTGCTGTATCCTACCGCTCCAGGTCCTGACAATCTAAGCCGTCGTCTGCGTTTCAACAGTATCTTGGCGATGTTTTTTAAACTAAATTTTCGGATTCTTGAAAGGAAAACAAATAATTTGATAGTGTATTTGTGTGCGTGTCCACAAGTCACGGCGTTGCCATTTCGTATGACCCCTGACGGAAAAAATCGGCATATAAAAATCATTGCAAGAAAATGACAGAAACTTACTCAGCCGTAAAGGAAACTATTTGAGCTCATTGCTGTGATTAGTTTTATATATGTCGGATTAATTATACGTTTTCTAATATATGCTGGCGTTGCCATATTACAGAATCAGTGCCGTTAGCCAACACTGCCAGCGTTATTTATTTATTTTTTAGGAATTATTTTCGTGGCGCATTAACGAAAGGAAGCCATGCAAGTGGAGCACTGGGGCGCCTTGCCCGATGACGATGAGGATCCCGAGGACCTCTCCGACAAACTGGTGCCCATATATGCCAAGAAGCTCATGCTGGAGGAGATACGCCAGCGCGGTGAACTTGAACCGGAGGAGAACGAGTACGGAATACATTCCACCGAGGGGAACTCTTTTAATAATTGCTTAATCATTTTCCAGGCATATAGTGGAGCTGAAGAGTTCCCTCGTCACCCAGACCATCGAGGTGATGAAACAAACGGAGGTGCTGCAGTCCCTCATCGACACTTACTCCAACAAAAACGTATGTATCCAGTATTGCCAGGTTCGGATCGGTTCTGCCAGATGACCAGATCTAAGATTGATTGCTTTCTTCCTTATAGGGATCTTCCAATTACCTGCTCAATCCATGTCAAATGATACCTGAGGTGGACTTTCCGCCAGAAAACGCTGCCGACCTGGTCGGGGAGCAAAAGTTTCAGAAGCCCATCTGGTTCATCCCCACCGCGGACACATCGTACTCGCGTGGCGATCCCCAGCACTATCCGGAGATATCGAGCAACACCTGCCGCCAAGCCTTGCGCAAGGTCATGTGTGGAATGTTGCGCCTTGCCGGCTTCACCGACTGCTCGGAGTCGGCCATCCAGTTGCTGACCGATGCCAGCGAGGAGTTCCTGCGCAGCTTCATCTGCGAGTATCGCGCCTGCTACGATGTCGATCCCAAGACACGGAAATCGACGGAGCTGCAGCTGCTGCCGCTCGAGCGTGCCCACTCGGCGCTGACGGGGACATCGCTGACGCAGGTGCACAACTACTACAAGCACAAGGTGATCACGAGGAATCGCGTCGAGATCGGGGAGTTCAACAGTGTCCTGCAGGACTACGACCAGCTTATGAAGGAGAGCCAGAGCAGCATGCAGCGGCAGCAGGAGTTCAATAGTAACGACTTCCTCAACATACTCGACAACAGCACGACGGGCAGCAACCAGAGCATGGGCAACATTGTGGGCGATATGATGCAGGATCTCGGAGGCTCTAGCAGCGGCGGCCTCTCCACTATGACCATTGGCAATGTCTCCCAGCAGCAGATGCTGTACGGGCTGCTCGACTGCCAAGTCTCTACCTCATCCTCCAATGTTCCCAGCTCCAGTAGCCTGGGGACTGGGAATGCCAGCAATGGCAACGGCAGCACTGGCAATGGCAGCAGCAGCAGTGCCGGCTTCCAAACGAACTTCGACTCGTAGTTACAATCAAAAAACAATCAGAATAAAAACTTTTCTCATTTATCTACTATCAGCGCTTTTATTTCTTCTTTTTCCGGCGTATCTTTGATTCGTTCCACTTGTTCTGGAGCCGGCGCTCCGTGAATTCGTTGACTGGATGGAGGGCCTGCAGCTTGTGGCCCTGCTGATCAGTCGCTTTGTACTCGAAGAGTTTTCCCTGTCGTGGCTTGCACTTGGCCCACGAAAGCATGTCCTTTCCCTCTATAATAGACTCGCCGCTAATGGCCACATCGGCCAGAGCCAATGCCTTTGCGGCGGGTGAGCGGTCCTCGTTGAGAGTGCGTCTCTTGATGGTGGGCTTCTTCTGTGGTCCAGGGGGTCCTGTATCCACTATCTCGGCGCTCAAGTAGCAGTCGGCATTGGACACGAGGCGCACCTGGTCTTGGCAGGGCTCCTCTTTCGGTATATCATCGGCGGGTATCTGCTCACAGAACTCGATTTGATCTTGGATAATTGAGCTAAGTTTTCCCCATATGTGGGTTTGCATTTCTTCGGTGATACGTAGATCGCTGGCTGCACCAGCACCAGCAGCAGCACCCTGCTCGTCCAAGTGGCGTTCGCTTTTAGGCGGAGGCGGCGCCTGGACTACGGTTGCCGCCGCCGGTTTTGAGTCTGTTGCTGCTGCCCCCCGCTGGAACATGGCATTTGTGAGCAGTGTGTGATCAGCGGCTTCAATGAATTGACGCATTTGTGCGTCATCATCGTCGGAGTCGCTATCAGCGTCACTAGTTACCGCTTTGGGTTGCTGTTTAGCGAGCATTTTGTACAAAAATCTAATTATTGTTCTTTTGTTGACATTTCCCTCTTGGTTACAGTTATACCTATCACATGTGCGCCGACTGCAGGTATTTTGCAGCACTGATTAGTAATGTGAAGAAAATTGAATTGGAAATGTGAAAATTTAACAAACGTGATAATAATACCTGGTTAGTTTTAATGTAATCTAATGCAATCACATGTATGTATGAGATAAGCTTTTGGGAGTGGAGTGCGGATTAGTTTTGTTGGAAACCAATCACCGCTGTTCAGCACTAAATAATAGCCCGCCCGAATGTCAATAATTTGAAATGCCATCCATAGAATATTATTTTATTATGCATACAGTGTGAAATTCGATCACGAGACGGAGCTGCACAGGCCACAATTGCTGACGGGACACATCTTCATCTGCACATCCTCGCCGACCCGCACCACGGCTGCCATACCACTCTCTGAGTGAGGCGAAATGTGACAATGGAACATCCAATAGCCGGGACTGTCGCTGTAGAAGCGTATAATCGTGTAGCCAAAGGCTGGTACCTGCACCGAATCCTTTAGCGGTGCACTGCGTCCCCGTCGCGGCAATGGCTTGAGTCGATCGATCTCCTCGATCTGGCCAATCTTCGTCTCGCCCAGCACTCCCATGCCCACCACTTGGAACGTGTAGCCGTGCAGGTGGACGGGATGCGGTGTGTTCGACTTGCTGGAAATAACAAACTCCACATTCTTGTTCGCCGGCACTTGGATGACATTCGAGCACTGGCAATGTCGCTGTTTGCAGTTGAAGCCCATGTGCGCCTGCTGGGAGCTGTTGCAGAAGTACTGCCCGATGCCCAGGTTGCGGGTCTGCAGCAGGGACATCTTCGGCATGCTGAAGGTGATGTCGTCCATTTGGAAGCGGAATCCCTCGCCGGTTATCTGGAAGGCGTTCATGCTGGTGTAGAATGTCGCTGACGGCTTCATCACCGGTTCCGCACGCTGTGCATTGAGGGTGGCCAGCGATATGCTCTGGGCACTGTTGCCGCCGGTGTCATCGCCCAGCTCGTTCAGCATTATGCCGGGGGCATCGTAGGCATAGCTCAGGGTGTGCGTGTCCAAGGCCTTGGGATCGGCATCTTGATAATGGAGCACCGCCTCCTGATGCAGCTGATTCTTGGCACAGAAGCTGTAGCCCTTGATTCGGATCCAGTAGTTGGCCACCTCCTGATTGGCGTGCAGCACAAAATCGAATCTCTCCGCGCCGTGGAACATGATCTTCTGCACCTCAACGGGCTCGATGTCATTGCCATCGCTGGCAATAACCACCAGATCGTGATTGTCGATGCTCAGGCTGATCGGGCAGTTGGACACCCCATTGAAGATGACACGGAAGCGATACCGTCCGCCCCGTATGACCGGAAAGTGGGCATACAGTGTGGGCCTCACCTTGCTGCCCTTTTTCATGTTCCGCCCCCGGCCATTGATCAGAATGTTCTCCGCCACGCTCTCCACAAAGTTGTGCACCCAGTCCTGGATCATGATCACGTGCTCCGTCTGATCAAAGTCGTAAAGATGAGCATGGGGATTGAGCTTCGCTGGCTGCCGAACAATCAGTGGCCCCGCCAGCCCGAAGGCTCGCTGATGCTCGGTGTGGCTGTGCCACCAGTTCGTGCCGCCATGATCCACCTGAAAGCGATAGCGGAAGGCCTGTCCGGCCTCAATCGGATACTGGGTGACATGCGGTACACCGTCCATGAACGGGGTGAGCCGCTGGTGCATGCCATGCCAGTGGATGGTGGTCGTCTCGTGCATGCTATTGATCACATCCGCCACGATGGTGTCCCCGTAGCAGACCTCGATGGAATGCCCGGGCAGGCGGCCGTTCACGACCATAACCTTGGACTCCAGACCGTCGGCGTACTTGCAGTCATCGTTGGCGGACACCTTGGAGCTATCGATGTACTCCTTGCCATTGGCCAGTTTGAAACGATATTTGGTCTGCGGATAGACCAGTGATTGATTAATGGATGGATGAATGGGCGAAGGCCTACCTGAAGGAGGCGCTTGCAGGTCGCCGCCATCGTGTCGTCGTAGTGGACCACCAGGTAGTAGTAGCAGGTCATTGGCTGCTGATCCACGCACTCCCGCTTGCAGGGATGCTGCATGTCCTTGCCGGCGGATCGCCATTGCGAGGATTCGCTGCCCGTGTCCGGCTGGGGGTACATCTGCATGATGCGCTCATACTTACTAACAATTCGCTTTCCGCTGGCATCTGAAAGAATCAAGCATCAAGGATCGTTAACATTTCACACTCAGACTTCGCGTCGTCCTGGCCGTCGCCATCGCCATCGCCATCACCATCACCTTGTATGCCATAGATTTGCACAAATATAAGAGAACAAATTGCAACGGATGCTTTAACCAAATTAAATCTCATTTTCGCATAAAAACACAAAAGTATTGTAATAAATAGTAGGGAATATGTTAGCAAATGGGGGTGCCTATGCCGCTTAATGGATGTTAACGCTCATTTGTGGCTGTGGCAGACTGCCAAACGTAACTGTTAATGAGTTTCCGCCATCGGTTACCTTTTGTAAGGCGCAACGCAACTTCTTACGCCCGGTAATTATTCCAGAGCCAGATAGAAGCGACAGCCACACAGAGATTGCTCGGAATCGGAATCTGGTGTCTGCTTGTCGAACAAGGCGTAACAGTTAATTGAAGATTGTTCGGAACTGCCAAAAGGGAGTTTCGATCAGCGATACTACATCTGAGGTGCCTCTTTTGCTGGCGCTTCTCCATGAAAGATCTCGAATTTGCTATTGATTTCGGGATAGCGGGGAAATACCGAGTGTACCTTGGCCCACATTCTGATATTCGCAAAACTCTATCTGATCTTGCCGGGAAATCAATCGCAATCAATCAAAAATTCTTCAGCTCTGACTGATTTTACAATTCAAATTTGAAAATTCAATTCGGCCAGTGTTGGCAAGCGTTGCACCTCCGGCCGGTATGGGAGGGGAGGCTCCAAACTGCATTCGAAGATCTTTTTGTTGTTATTTGTTTTAAAGAGGTGTCAAAGTACGTACTCAGAAAGAGAGAGAACAAGTACGAGTAGCATCCGCTATCGGCCACAACACTCTTTGCTACCCCTCTGCCGTTTGCATGTACATAAGTAGTATAGTACGAGGTACACACATTTATCTTTTGATAGGGGACGCTGAAAAACAACCAACGGAAATATTGCCATCGTAGATTACACATTTTAATTTCTTCTTCTGACGCTGTCCTAATCAAAACGAATGCCCACCAGCCGAGCCTCAAGAGTAGTAGTAGTACCCCCCTGTCTGGTTCCCACCACCCTCTGTACGCTTTTTTTACTTTTTGGTGCCGTATTTTGAATTTTGTTTTCGATTTCGTTTACTTTTATCGCGAAAGCAACACTGTATGTGTGTGTTCGTCTTCATTTGTTTGTGATCGCGGGGCCACAAGAAGGCGAAGGAGAGTCAACGACGGCAGCGTTGATTATGCATAAAACAAGCAGCTAAAGAGTGCAACAAAACATACTCGCATAGCGGTAAATACATGTACATACATACAGTACATGCCGTAGAGTACATATGTACCATCTCTGCATATGACATGCATGTGTACATATGTATGTAGGAGTAACGTATCGCACAGTAAAACAAGTTTCAACGCCGCAACGCAAAATAGCTTTCGATTGGAGCTGACGGTGCGCCATGAAGTTCATTAGCTATTTCGTACGGGAGTCGAGCAGACGCATTCCTCTAATCCTGCACAGAATCCAGAATCCAGTGCACACAATCCACACCCACGTAAGGGTTCCAGTCACAGGTGGTTTGGCAACCCTGTGCCACCGATAACGGCTTGAAGTGCTAATGTTGTTGTTGTTATTTATGCTGGGAAATTTCACAACTTTTATTGGGTTGATTTCTTCCACACAGAGAAGCGCTGCCGCCACCATGGACACCACAGTGCATTCAGCGGGAATATCAGAGGTCCATCATGTACCAATGAGTGTGATCAAGCGGCCCATACCCTCCATATTGGATGAGCAGAAAGTGATCTCGCTCATGGACACCATCAACGTGCGTCACAACACTGATCCCCGCAATAAACACGCAGGCCTACACACATATCTTTCTCTCTTTGTGTCTGTCTCTCCCCCAGGGCGAGGCCAGCGAGGAGGAGGTGCCCCCAATCGACTTGCTGTGGATAACGGGTAGCGAGGGCGGCCAATATTACTTCAGCTTCGGTGGCTGCCACCGGTTCGAGGCATACCGGCGCCTGCAGCGTGAAACCATAAAAGCCAAACTGGTGCGCTCCACACTGGGGGATCTGTACCACTACATGGGCTCCAGTGCGCCGAAGTATTTGGCCTGATATGATTCGTTGCGGCTCTTGACCTCCACACATATTCCATCCCCGTGCAATGTTTTTCAATGTTTTCGATTGTAAATTCTTTTGTTTTGTTATTATCTATGTTATTTTTTGATAAGCAGCGTGTTTTTAATTATCAGAAGAAAGCATCTGCCGACAGCCATCTCCTGTTTATTTCTCCGTCAAGATTGGATAGCTGGCCTTTCCCACAGCAGGGAATCATCGTTGTGCAGTTCCAAGTTCCGTGTTTTCTTTGTGACGCTCTATAGTTTATTGTGCTTTGGTCGGCATCTTAAGTTGTACTACTGCATTCTGACTTAATTTTAATCACTTAATGATAATGACAATGGACCTTAACATATTCGAAATGCCATGTAGCTGAGCGGGGGAGGGACCAGAGAATCACCAAAGAAATGGCGATCGCTCTCGGAGTAGGCGAAGACCATGACGACTCCAGTCCACCTGCGTTATCCACAGCTCTCTGGCACTCTCCAACACCGACATGATGGCCGCACCCTTCCAAGCCACCATACCCGCATCCATGCCTTTGGTGAACACATTCACCTCGATGCCGGGCTGCACCTGCTGGCTGATGCAGCTTTGCAGCCAGGCCGCCAGGCCGGGTATCTTCACGCTGCTGCCTACGAGCAGAATGGAGCCGTACATCTTGCGCTTTGTCTCGTTGGTGGCGCAACGGCCAATGGCTTCGAGGACAGCCTGATCCAGTGGCATCACCTGACCCTGGCCGTACTGATAAACTCCATTCGCAGTGTCAGCGAAATGCTTTTGCGGATGACCGACGCAGGGGCTGCTGGTGTTGTGGACGGCGACGCCGTTAGAGGAAGGCTCATCCTGATCGACCACATTCAACTCCTCGTCATCGGCTGTAATGGGCGGTAGGAGGCGTGGCTGGGCGAGAAGCTGTGCAACGATTGGATCTGCTGCACGAGCGCCATTCTTTCGGCCCGTCTCCCGCAGATACTCGGCATCGAAGCAATCCTCGCAGTCGTACTGCTCCTGGGGCGGCTGCTGTGTGAAGGCCTTTCTCGCCTTGCCCGTAATGTTCAGCAGTTCGGTGTGAAAGAAGGCCAGGGGGGCCATTATGGCCTCGTCGCCCACCTGCAGGGTGTAACGCAGCCACTGGCCATTCTGTTTCCTCAGATGGAACTGCTTCTCCTGGGCCCCACACACTTTGGCATTGAGATGACAGAAGCGCTCCTTTAGCTTGTCCATCAGGCGGGCATCAACATAGCTGTCCTGGACACTGCACTCGCGATAGGGGAAGCCACACTTGCGCAACAGCATGAGCAGCACCTGGTTAATGTCACCGCCGCCATACTGCAACCGTACCCGCGAATTAAGCTGGGAAATGCCGTCCTCGATGCAGGCTATAGAGGTCTTCTGCGCGCCAATATCCACCACACAGCCGAAGCCAATACCCGCCCCATAGGTGGAGGCGACACTGTCCTGTACCAGGAAGCAACGCTGGAAGCCGAGACGCTGCAGCAGAAGGGTCATAAACTCACGCAGATGTCGCCGCACATAGACATCGTTGACCACCAGAACGGCCGAATGGGTGCGAAGATCGCGCAAATTAATCTTCAGTCTTGCCTCCAATGCGTACGACCATATCCGCTCAATGTGCTGCAACGTACACTACAAGAAGGCAATCGTTGACTATTGACTGTGCTGGCCAAAGGCTGACTCTAGACTTACCTGCAGAGAGCCACCTTTCTGCTTGTGTACATTCAGTTCTCCCCGCTGGATGGGGAAGTGGATGTCGTAGTCGCGAGCATCGAAGGTGCTCAGCCTCAGGATCTGCTCATCGAACAGCACCGGTGCGTCCCGGTCCAGCCACTGCCTGTTCCGCTCTTCGCTTAGATTACCAGGCGGCGGTATCTTCTCGGCCACACTCTTGCGATTGAAGTGGGCCAGCTGCTGCGGAGGCGTTGCCACGCGCAACCGTTGTTTGTCGTCGATCACACAATTCTGTAGTATGCGCGACGCGATTAGTCGTTGCTCCTCAAACTCTACCTGCAGTTGTGCGGGATTTATGTTGTCCAGCGACGGCAGCATCGGGTCATGGTAGGGCCAGTCGCCCTCCTGGTGCTTACGCTTGTAGGCGACCGCATGGAGCATGGTCAACGGATTAAGGTCACAGGCCCGGCCAATTCGCAAATGCTGCGACCCCGGATGTATCACAATGATTTTGGGTGCATCCAATGGCTGGACCTGTTGCGATGCCTGCAGGCGGCCGCTGCTGGTGCTGCTGGCGCGCGACCGTCTGCAAATAGTTTATTCATTTTCTGATCCACTGGACCCCAAGGGAATCGTGCACTTACTGCATAATTGATACTTCTGTGGTTGGGAGAGGGTAGGTGACGGCAGCCATGGCCTGAAGAAGAAATTTTTCACAGTTTTCGCCATGGCGATGTCTGCTTAGCGATGGGACTGTACTCGGTACACACGAGTATCGCACGTCAGCTGGTGCCTTGTGAGCCCCGGTGCAGTCGATAGTTGCCATCGAAGCTGTCAACTTTAGCGGTATATCCTTTTCTGTCATAGTTTAAATGTAAGTTCAAGTCCAACAGGAGTAAAAAAAAATCAAAATGGGAGACCTGTCAATGAATTTGGTCTTAAATTTGACCCGAATCACAGAATTGGTAACGGCCCTACACGTACTGAACGTTCCCATAGACGCTGACGATTTGGATGAATACCACCAACAATATAATATCATTGGTTTGAAGAATTATGGGTTTCGCTGCTAGCGGTTATCTTATTTCTTATAAGATATGGCGAGTGAGGGTTATATACATATATATTCATTGATCTAACAGGCTTGGCCCCTTCAACTGGATAGTAAATATATAGTGGAAATTAATAATGGTCTGCATACACATACACATTAAAATATGGAAGCATATAAGAAAGCCGAAATCGGGGAACATTATCGAATCCAAAGAATCATTCAAAAACGTATTTGTTTTAGAATTGAGAAAAAATGTTGTCATCTAATGCACAAATTAAGGCCAAAACTAGTCAGTTTATTTTTTAAAGGTATTTCAACGATATTTTAAAGCCCATTGTCTTCTTGCAGAGACGAAGAATAGGATAGGTATCAGGATCGAGATATATATACAAAACACTCACCATATGTCTAAAAAATGTCAATTTGAGAAAAGGTCTTTATTAGTAACTTCATATCAATATTTATACTTTCATATAATAAAGGCCTATACTACGGCTTACACGCAATATAGCGACTCTTTTTTTGTTGATGTTTTTGGTTTAAACCTTTTTTGCAATAAAAGCAAGGATTAAAATCTATCCAATCTTGTAGAAAATTTATTCATCAATGGGATAAAACTATGTGGGCATTGCTGAGAGATTTAGTTAGTCAGCATTATTCAATGGAATATCCAAATTGAGCAGTTTCCTTTTTCGTTTGTTTTGATTGACCTATTTCGCTAGTTGTTTTTTGTTGGACTTATTTCGCTAAAACCTTTTTTTACGCAAAATGCAAGAAAAGCAAGTATTAAGAATAAGCCAGTTAAATAGAAAATTAATTCATCAATCGTATAAAATTATGTGGACATGGCTAAATGTGCTATATAGCTGAGAATATTCAACGGAAGATCAAAAACGAGGAATATGTAAAATAGAACTTGAATTCGTCGGTATATTTGCGGTATTTTTTCAAAAAGAGACGGTATATTTTGGCATATTTCTGAGGGTCGACGGTAGATTTTTTCGACAACATCAAGGAAAAGAACGTGGTTTGTATCAGAATTTCCAAAAACACCAGACATACACGGCCCCAGAAGTTTCTGTTGTGAAATTAAAAGTGAACTATTTAGAGATATATCAGGATCTGATTTCCGAGCCTGTGTGCATCCGAAATGTCGCAGTTCACGTGCCTCAATTGCGATGCGCGTTTCGCCACCGCTGAGGTGCAGCGCGAGCACTACAAAACAGATTGGCATCGCTACAACCTGAAGCGGCGCGTGGCCCAACTGCCCCCGGTGACGGCGGAGGAGTTCCAGCAGCGCGTACTGAGTGCACGTAGTGCCACCGAGATGGCTTTGGAGGAGCAGAAAATGAGCTCTTATTGCAACGCCTGCCGCAAGCAGTTTAGCAGCCAAAAGGCCCACGACAATCACCTGAACAGCAAGAAGCACAAGGAGTGCCTGGTCAGGTTCGAGCGGCAGCAGATGACGTCCAGTGCCGGCAGCAGCAGCACAGTTTCGGCCTCTGTCTGCACCAGGAGCGTGGTGGAGCCGCGTCCCCATCCTGCTCTGGCCGCCGCTGCTGCTGGAAAGGGTCGTCTGGCGTTCGCCGAGCGTGCCAAGCAAGTTGACGGCGAGGAGGACGATGAAGTCGACGATGATGACTTTGAGGATATCGATGAGGAGGAGGTAGGTGTTTTTTCTCGGCGGCTGGCGGCCATAACATTCATCTTCTTATCTATCTCTCGCCCACAGGTGGACTCGGATGAGTGGGACAAGATACCTGAGAATCCGTTGACAGAGCGCGATTGTCTCTTCTGCAAACAGACCAGCGAGGATATGGTGGAGAACTTGAAACACATGTCCGTAGCACATTCCTTCTTCATACCCGACACCGAATTCTGCACCGATCTGGAGGGTCTGCTCTACTATTTGGGCGAGAAGGTGGCCAATTATTTTGTCTGCTTGTGGTGCAACGATCGCGGCAAGACCTTCTACTCCCTGGACTCTGTCCGCAAGCACATGGTCGACAAGGGCCACTGTCAGATGCTGCACGAGGGCGTGGCCCTGGCTGAATACGCAGATTACTATGATTACAGCGAGAGTTATCCAGATAACGTGAGTACATTCTTTCCTATCCTTTCCTGCTTTCCGAGTTCAATGTTCCCCCCTCTTCCAAAAACAGAAAGACGGCATGGACATCGACGAGGAGGTAGTGCCGGATCTGCTCGACGGCGATGAGTACCAGCTGGTGCTACCCTCGGGCGCTGTCATTGGCCATCGATCCCTGTTGCGCTACTATAAGCAGCGACTCCATCCAGAGCGCGGCGTTGTCCTAAAGAAGTCCGACCGCAAGCTGCACCATGTGCTCAGCGAGTATCGGGCCCTCGGCTGGACCCAGACACAGCAGAAAGCAGCGGCCAGCAAGGCACGCGACATACATCTCATGAAGCGTGTCCAGTCCAAGTGGCAGATGAAGCTCGGCACCAAGGCCAATAAACTGCAGAAGCACTATCGTGCCCAGATCCTCATCTAAGTCACCGACTAGAGCCAGTCAGTTCCCCCTCTCCCACAAAATCTTATTCCATTGCAAATGAAATAATGATGATCGTTGCTGGTTTTTTTTTTGTTTTGCTTAAATTAAGCATACAGTTTTCTTTTGTATATTACTAGCGATTTCTCTTGAAAATAAAATTACATAATTTAAATTAACAATTAAATATAGTTTAATTTTGATTCGTTTATAGTTAAATGTTATGTCGTTATGGTTACAGTTAAAGATTTAATTTAAGCATTAAAATTAGACCAAAAAAAAAAATAATGGGTTCTAAAAACGCATTTCCAGGGGCTTTCCATACAGTTGGAAGCGAGACGACTGCTGGGAGCGTTTTTAGAACGTGTGTGTGTGTATGCGTGGGTGTGAAGTGACTAAACCATATTTGAGTGTATGTGTGTGGGTGTGAGGGTCAAATTCAGCTAGATTTGTTATATGTTGTGTATGTGGGTGGATTTCTCCCACGAGTACTGGAGCAACTGTGCTTTGTGGATCGTGGGATATAAGCTAGTCTTATATCCCACCACACAACCGTTCTTCTACACAGACTGTAGGTGTGCGTGTGTGTGTGGGTTTTGTGATAATGGATTGGCTGCAATAAATAGCGGTATTTCTGGGCAGCGGGACAATGAGCGCTCCACGCCACGACAGAACGGTGGTGCACAAAAAAAATAGTATTACATATTAAAAGACGATAAGGGATAACGCTTTAGGCTAATGTATAACTACAGGATTCTTTTGAACACATACGCCCACCATTGGCGATGAGGAAGAGGCATCGCTGCTGGCACCTGCCGCCGAGCCGCTGCTGTTCCCGGGTGCACCAACACCCACACCCACACCCGCACCAACAGACCCAACGACATGTCGTCGCTGGCCTGCGGATTGCATGGACATGGGCATTGGCATGGGCATGGGCATCGGCATGGGCATGGAGGACATGCCGCCCGTGGAGGAGGAGGACGTTGACAACGGCAGTTGCAATGGCAGTGGCAGTGGCTGCAGCGGCAGTGGCATAAAGGCGGACACGGGCACAGGTACCGCAGTGGCGGCGGTAGCTCCCATCGATGCCGGCCCGGCTGGCCCGCCAGCTGCCGACGCACTGATCACACTGGAGTCGGTCATCATCAGGTGAGAGGCGGCCGCGGCAGCAGCAGCAGCTGCGGCCGCGGCCGCTGACATGTTCCCGTAGTAGGGCAAGGATGTTGGCGCATAGTTGTTCGGCATCGGGAGCAGGGCCGGCACACGCATGCGACCGTTGGGCGGTGGGGGCGGCATCACCTGGCCGTGCGGCGGATCGCAGTCCATCGGATGCGAATAGCTGTTGTTGCTGCCGTACATGTGGCGGCGACTGTTACCCCCGCCACTGTTACTGTTGCTGTTAATGTGGTTTAGGCTATTCAGACTGTTACTGTGGCTGCTGTTGCTGTTACTGTGACTGCTGTTGTTGCTGTTACTGTGAATGCTGCTGCTGTTGCTGCTGTGGTGGCTGTTGTGGGCAGCCAGCGCAGACGGATGGGTGGCGGGCTGCAGACTGAGGGCAGAGAAGTTGTTCATGGCGCTGGCCGCGGCATTTGAGTGCATTAGTGCATGCAGACCTGTGAAATAGAATGTCAAGAAGAGAACTGTGAGTGCCAGTGTGTCGACAGATTAACAGAGGGATTATCATGGTCATGTAAGGCCCCCGCAGGAGCGGAACACAACTGTAGGAGGATCTGAACATTTGGATACCCTTTCTCAAAGATGGATTCTGTGTGTGTTTTTTTGTTGATTATATCATAAGTTTTTATTGAAGGTTTTTTTCGCTTTTTTTGTTTGTAATTTTCCTTTTGTTTTTTAATTTTTTATTATTTTTTTGTCTGCTTTAGTTTTTTCTTTTTATGAATTCCTTTTCCTTACGGTTGTCTTTTTTTGGTAAAGTTCCCGTTTTGGTTTTAATCATTAATAAATTACTTCGTACACGTTAAACTTAAATCATCCGCTGCGGTCTGTTTTCTTTATATTATATAAATGCCATACATGCCTATGCATGCAACTGTGTGGTGTATGTGTGTGTGTGTGTGTGTGTGTGTGTGTGTGTTTGTGTGTGCTTCTGTTTGTCTCGTCATCTGATGTGTTTTGTCGTTTAATTTTGTTTCTATTTAAATTTACGTTGCAATACTGTTTCGTTGAACATTCGCCTGTTCCGGCTCTCCGGCAAACAAATGCATTATGTTGTTAGTCCTTTCTGTGGCTGCTGCTGCTGCTGCTGTTGCTCTCGTGATGTTCTTGCACTGCAAGCGACGTCCAAAACGTAAAGCTAACATTCTTTCTTATCTGTGAAATGCTGTTCTGTTCTCTGTTACTGTTAAACACTTGCTGCTGCATTGTTTGGGCAGTGCTTAACTGTTACTGTTACGATACTGTTACTGTGTCTGTTCTTTCAATCTGTCACACTCTTTCGCTGGAAATTCGCAATCTTTCTTGTGTCCGTCTGTGTCCCAGTGGGTGGCTGAGTGTTTGTGTATTTTTGTATCTGTAAACTTGCCGACTTATAAACACTCTTTGCAACCGGTTTCTTTTGGTTTTTGTTTAGTATTTTACATAAGATTCGTTTAATTATTTCTCTCTGCTTCGTATTTAAATTCTTGAATTGTGTTCTCTCGGGGGCTAACCACTAAATTGTTAATTAATCTTTACGGTTTATATGTATTTTTCGTATCCTCACATCCTTCGTATGTATGCGGTCGTTCTGTCTCTGCTTCTGTCCTGTCTGTCTGCTGTCTGTCTGAATGTGTTTACAAATTAATTGAGTTGTGGTTTTGTTTTCTTTGTTTAATTTTTTGGGTTTTCGCTTCGTGTCATTTTTGGTAATTATTCGCATAATTATTCATAAATGTTATATATATATATAGATTTATGTATGTTAAATTTTATTAAATGCTAAAGTTCTTCCTTTTAGTACGTACTGATTTTTCATTTGTTATGCTTGCTATAAGTTTTCTCGTTTCGAATTTGTTTCCTTTCTCTTCATTTTGTGAGTGTTTTATTTTGTTGTCTTTTCTTCGTCTTGTGTGTTTACGAAACGCATTAATTCTCTCTTTTATTTTCTTCTTCTGTGAATTTTGCTTCGTTTTTTTTTCTTTGCTATTTTTACATGCCTACGTTTTGCCTCATTTCGTTTCTCCATTTTTGTATGCTCTCTTTTTACAAACTATGATTTGTGTTTGGTTTTCAACTCGTATTTTGCATATACTATATAATCCGCATTATCTTTATTTTAATCCGCCTTCTCAATAAAAACTTGTATGTATATATTTATATATACTATATGTATGTATATATTTACCGTTGAGAGAGTGTGAGAGTCGTGTGTGTGTTCGTGTGTCAATGTGTGTGTGTGATCATGCGGGAGAAAGCTGCCAACATTCGTGGGCTCTGTTAAACATACTACTCGTAACATAACAGTCTCTGACGTCCGTCTGTTAACATTGCTTTGCGTTAAAAAGAGGGGCAGTGTAAGTGGGGGTCGAATGTGCGCTTTTCGGTTGCGTTTCGTTATCACAAATAAGAGCGGCCTCTGTCAAGACCAGCTGCAATGTATGCTTTAGCTTGTTCGCTCACTCAGTCACTAGTTCGGATTACGCTCTTCCGTTTATCGATCGTTTAGTTCGAACCTCTGACGACAGAGTGACAAAGAGAGACAGAGAGAGAGAGAGAGAGAGTGACGAGACTGAGAGCGAACAGTGCTGCCATCTGTTTAAAATTCTCAGTCTAAGAAGGGAGATGAGTGTTTGTGTGTGATTGAGTGTACAAGTGTGGTGGGGCGTGTGTGCGTGAGTGGGAGGACAAAATGTTTCGGAAATGTGTGTTTGTGAGGGGGAGGACAACAGAGGTTAAGTTTTCGTAGGGCGTGTGTCTGTGTTGTGTCTGGTGTGTGCAGTATTTTACAAATTGATGATCCGTCAGCATTCTGTATAATATACATATATATGTATATACATATACACACACGTCTATATAAATACACATAAATATATATATAAATACATATACATATATATATATATATATGTGTGTTTATGTGTTTTCAAGTAAGGGAAGTATGTAAATATGTATGTATGAATGCTGCTGACGTTGCGTATGTTTATTATGTTCTTGCATATGTATTAACCGTTCTTTACTCATACATATGTATATCCACTCGATTAAATACTACTGCAAATACTTCGCACACACATATCGATCGTGTCCCGTACGTTCCTATATATACTATATATAACTATCGCTTTTTTTCCTCCACCTCTCGCACTCTTATTAAAGGAGTTGTGATTTAACCGCTAATATACTCGTTACTGTATCTCGTTACTCGTTACTTATGCATATATATATTTATTTATATATATTTATATATATGTATGGCAGTCATTAAGAAAGTCGTTAAGGATTCCTTTTTTAATTTTTTTTTTGTTTTGTTTTTGTTTTTTTTTTTAAACTTATTTTTCTTCATAAACTACACGACTATTATTTCTCTTCTTTCCTATATTTGCGTCTCTCTACAATTTCTATACGCTTAAAATCTAAGTATCATTTAGGCCCTTTTTGGTTTTTGCGTAATTCGAGTTGATAAAAAAAAAAAAACGTAATTATGTGAACGTTAAACATTTAACACACGATTGTATTTCCTTCTTTTGGAGCGTCTAAAATGCGTGAGCATACACATTTAAATATTTATATTCTATAAAAAAAAAAAACAAATCGAATAAATAAATTAAAGAAACGCACCGCACACACTTTTTTTTTTAGGAAAAAGAGTTGTGGGTGGATGAATAGAGAGAATGTGAGAGTGAGTAAGTGTGAGAGAATTACACACCGAGAGATTGAGTGAGATAGAGGCGCTGCTGAGAGAGTGAGCCTCTTACACTATTTACAATTGCTCTGGCTCTGGGCTCTGGGCTCTCTCTCCAGCGATCACACGCTGTTAATGCTACCCGTATGACTACTGCTTCTGCGTCTACTCCCACTGCTGTTTCCCATTGCTACTTGGCTCCGCTGTCCGCTGCCTGATCGCATCACATCATTCGGCGGTGGAGCCTCCTTACTGTGAATGTGACTGTGGAGGCGGCGGTGGTGGTGGTGGCATCCTTGTTGTTGCCGGCGATGATCCTGCTGATGCTGATGCTGTCGCTCCAGTTATCGGTCATCGGCGTTCATCTGTGTTACCAGTATCATGTTTGTTGTCGATACATTTCGATATTATTTGAATTTGTAAGACGCGCGCGTGTTTGCGTGTTTGTTAGAAAGAGAAAGGAACATACAGATCATTGTTTTTTTTTTGGGATTTCTCTTTTGTTTGCTACTTTTGTCACAAAGAATTGACTGTTTGGGGGTTGCTTTCTACCATTTTATAATCATAATTATAGAACCGAAACTAAAAACTAAAGATATATCATATGTTTACATGGAGATGTATGCTTGAGAGATACGGTACGTGGTAGGAGTACTGGAGGATAACTAAACATTGAAAATCGATCAAAAAATACAAAATCAAAAGGAAAGGCACGTGGCACACTCACAAAAAATAATTGCTGAAACATTCTCTACAGAAAAGGAAACATAAGAAACGAAACGAAACGAAAGACCCGCTCTAAATGGGGCAGCTACAAAACAACAGCATGATTGATGGAACAATGATGATTGAATGAATCAAGTGGGGAGGGGGGGAGGCGGGAAGGAGGATACTCCTTCCTACTAGTTCTACCACTCACCATGGCTATGGGCATCCACCACAGACGTTGACGACGATGCACCGCCCGGACCCGCCAGTGGCAGTGGCAGTGGCAGGGACATCGGCTGCTGCGACGCCGCCACCGCCAATCCAGAGCCAGTGCTGCCGCCGCTGCCGTTGCCACCACCGCCGCCGCCGGTTGTTGTCGTTGAGGAGGTGGTGGAGGATGAACTGGCCGCTGCCGCGGCTGCCGCTGCGGGCGCTGAACTGGCAGAGACGGCACTGCTGCTGGTGCTCGCACCCGGTCCGCCGCCACCACCACTGCAGCCACCGCCGCCGCTGCCACCGGCCCCGGCATTCGCTGTGGCACCGGCGCCACTTGTGTTGGTCGACTCGTCGGCGGTGCGCTTGAAGAAGTTGTGTTGCAAGGCATAGTACGGTGTGACGCGCGTCTTTGGGTCAAAGTCCAGCATGCGCAATATCAGATCCTTGAACTTGAGATAATCCGACACCGAATGACCGGGCTCATCCAATCGCCTACCACCCGGCCCACCCGTCTCCACGCCGAGTATGTCATGCAGCTTTCGCGATCCCGGGGGCTTGTATTTGCGTCCATTCTGGTTCTTCTTTAAAACATAGGAGCCATCGGTGACGATTTTGTCAAAGAACTTGCGCGTCTTGTGCGCCTGATCGAGCAGATACTTGGGCGGCATGCCCAGAACCTCGACAATCTTGTTCATCTGATCGACCTCATTGCAGCCAGAGAAGAGCGGCTCGCCCGTGTGCATCTCAACCAAAATGCAGCCCAGCGACCACATATCGATGGCCAGATCGTACTGTATGCCCAGTAGCACCTCTGGCGATCGGTAGAAACGCGACTGGATGTAGTGATAGATCTGTAAAAAAATATAAGAATATAAGATGAGAGGTCTCTGAATTGTGCGGTGGCTCTACAGCGCCACAGCTCCACTTACGCGCTGTCCCAACTGGCAGGAGCTGCCAAAGTCAACAATCTTTATGGCCGAGCGCTTCGGGTTGCATAGCAAGATATTCTCGGGCTTCAAATCACAGTGTATTATGTTCAGTTCGGGCGTGCTGAGGAACAGCAGCGCCGTGCACAGTTGCTGCGCAAATTTACGCGTGAGGTTCAGCGAGACGCCGCGGAAATTTGTGTTCCTAAGCAGATCGTACAGGTTGTATGAGAGCAGCTCGAAGACCAGGCACAGATGGTTGCGCCACATAAAGTGACGCTTGAGCTTGACTAAAGAATTGGGTTTGTTCGATTAGTATAGATGTACATATTGTGGCGAAGGCTTGAGGAGATATAACCATACCGATATAATATTTATTTTCAGCATCCGCACGATTCATCATCTCGAGCAGCTTGACCTCGATTTGTGCCTGATTTAGGAACGGTTTCTTATTCTTAATTATTTTGATCGCCACATGACATTGCTCCTCGTGATCGTAGGCCTTTACCACTTGACCGAAACTGCCCTTGCCTGAGGTATACAAGGGATAGAAGAAGATATAGTAGATATAACAGATGTAAACAAGTGTATACGTACCGATTAGCGAATCAATCTCATAGCGATCCAAGAACTTTTCACCATTCTTGATTATATAATCATGATTATCATCGTCATAGCCATCGTTATATAATTTGCGCTCCTTTTTGTTGGACGAATCATCGTCGCCCTGTGTTTGTTGGGCTCGTCGCTTCTTTTTCGCATAGTATACCTAGACAAGAACGATAGATGCAATTTTATTGATAGTCGTCATTGGAATTATATTAAAGCCCATTACTGGCGATCAGCTCTCCTAAGCGAACCATGCCAAACGAGAGCTATTTGGTTGCAAATCGATAATTATCGATATCATGGAAAAAACATGGCACCCTAAGCTGGTTTCCACCATTACGATTTTTTATATCGATAAATCGATATATTCCCAGAGGTATTTTCCCTGTTTTCCCTTGGAAAAGGAAGACTTGTCTTCCAATGACCATTCAATCCATCCAAGACGATGAAATTGTCAAGAAAAATGTCTTTGGAATTGATTAAATTATCGTTGTGTGATTAATCGTTTCCATTTAATTCATTTTCCTAATTCGCACTTAGATAATTGATCGATATCCATCAAGAAGATGCACTATACATTGGTATTTATCGTAAAAGAAATACCAAAAAAAAGCCCCGCATGCAAACACGCGATTTTACTGGATGCAAAGTGTGGCAGAAACGCCCCTGTTAACACTTCGATAGCTGCTCCACTGAGAGCGAGTGCTCTGATGCACGTGGATGGGGCAGGGCCAGTGGCAACGGCAGGGATTGGCACGGCACGGCACGGTACGGCATCCCATTCAGGCCAGTTATCCCGTTACTTCCACTTCATCAGAGACAAATGTAAACATTGCCCCCCCGAACCGGCGGCAGCGGCGACGACGCGACGACGCGACGGCGTGTGCTTCTGCCTCAACCCCCCGCCGCTTTCCCAACCATTGGGCAGCGGCAAGAGCAGCACACACACAAAAAAAAAGGAGGTTGCGCTTGGAAAAAAGTTGTTGCTAACGCGGCAAGCATGCGGCGGTGCGAGCGAGACGTCCTGCTTTTTAGTGGAGGGCCCTTCGCAGGTCCTTTGCAGACCGCCGCTGCGGAGTAGCAGGAGCAGTAGCAGGAGAGCGGCTAGCGTTGGTGAAGAGAGCGAGAGCGCGTGTGCTGTGGCGGGATGGGAGAGTTTCAACAACGCCTAAAAGCTGGCTGCACGGACCATGGCACGGAGGTATGTGTCTACTCGTTGAAGAACCGAGAGAGAGAGAGAGAGACCAAACGAGAGAGATAGCGCGCGAATGCTCTCCAAAAATGGGTGTATGCTTTTGCTTTTGATTTTGCTGTGGCAATGACGTTTTTTTTTTTTGCGGGGCAACAAAAGCCGTCTTTGGCGTCACAGTTAATCTGCAAATGACTCTGTTGTGTCTCTCCCTCTCCCTCCCTCTCTCGCTCTCTCTGTGTGTGTTTGCTGTTGTCTCCTCAGTAGAATGACGATGCATGACGCTGCACTGCACTCGCGATGATAAAGGCTGGTCACACTAATCCTGTAACGACGTAACGGGGCATTAGCTCCGCTTTACACCTCGGACAACTGGCTGTCCCCCTCACTCTTGTAGCTCAAGCATATTTTGTACTAAGCAGCGAATTTCTATCGATTCTGTTCCGATTATTCAGCGATTCGCGACCCTCGAGCAGAGCTGTGGCATTTTTCATCGATTCTATTTAAGGGCCACACATTTTTCAGGATTCTGTTCGATTATTCATCGATTTTTCATACATTTCTAGTCGATCCCTCATCGATCATCCCCCTAAAATTGTTAATCGATTGTCATCTATGACTATCAGAAAGTATGGGAGTATGGGATCGATGGACATCCAGCGTTCCGATCATCCAGCGGTTCACGATAATCCAAAATGGGTGTGTGATTTGTCAACGAATATATTTGATTATTAATAGATGCTTGGATAAGCAATCGATTGTCATAAATATGGTGGAGTTTCTTTGTCTCGAAAGTTCTCCTCTAGAAGGAACGACAAGGCATAGGCTTTCGCGTTCCGTCGTACGTCCAGATGGAAGGACAGGAATCCACGCCAAGGACTACCACAGGTAGATAGGTCATTGGTTGGAGAAGGAAATTATGTATTACGCACCCACGTACCAAATGGTGTCCCCCAAACCATCGCTCAAGGCTAGGAATTGGGTCGTCGTCGTCGCTATCACATCACACAACTGTGTATATGACACATGAGACATGACAATGCCTTTGCCGGCGTGCGTTGGCAGTTTCCATGTGGAGCCATGTGTCGCCGTCAGGCGCTTTGTTTAGAACTTTTGGCAGAAGGCAGCAAGAAGCGAGCAGCGGACTGGCAGGCTGGCAGGCTGGCAGGCTTTCAGGCAGGTAGAAGGTGGAAAGGTAACATAGAAGATAGATAGATAGAAGGTAACAGGCGGCAGTTGTACAGTTGCGTTGCGTGTCTCTTTGCGTCTTTGTGGCTGTTGTCAAAGTCTTCTCTTCCCACGTCAATCGAAGCGCAAACAAATGCGACCCGTAACGGGGTCAAGGACAAACGTACGTATCTTTAGAACACACCAGCAGACACAATATATCTGTCAGCAGATCTGATTCTGATCGAACTACTGCTAATATCATAAAAGCCAAAGTTAAAGAAGGAAAGAAGATGCATATGCAGATGGATGGATGCCAAGGTTCCGTCTCGTCTGGCATCAGATCGTACACAAAATACACACTTTACATATGGCAGTACTCACCTCGTTGATGTGCTTATAGGTCTTTATCAGATCGACGCTCAGCTTTCGTAATGGTCCTGAAGCGGGATCGCGAAAGTGTGCGGGAATGCGGGCCTGCATGGCACGCACCTCCGACGAAGACGAAGGACTAGGGTGCTTTTGTTTAGAAAGAAAAACGATAAGAAATTCAATTATATCTCTGTCAAATCTACAATCTTCTAATTATGTACTATGTATTTAATCCGAAAACGGACATCGTTTGTCCTTGGTTTTGGAAGGAGTGGGAGCACAACATTTTCACCTCTGGTTGGCTACGATAATGTTTTTGGTCAACGACCATTCGTTGGTAGTTGCCTTAAATAACCGGAGATCCAACTTTCAGTCGTAGGTGTGCTGGAAGAATGCCTTCACAGATTCGTTGGCATCGCAGTGGCGATGATTTCAAGCAAGCCTTGACCTCATCGGCTTTAGGGAGTAACTAAGTCCCACCGAATTGTACCTTTGGGTGTTCTGTTTAACGCCTCAAGCGACTGTTTGTGTGCTACAGGTCATTCATCTTAGAATGGATCAGCACTGTGGCCATGGACTCTTCATAGAATATTCAGTTCTGCCTCCATCCAATAAAGTGTCTGCAATGCCAGATGATGCATCGGGAAATGCTTTGCCATTACTTGATTCTTTCGGCCATTACCATTTGATATCAATAATTTTCCCTGTGAGTGAGACCAGTTTTAAGTGTCTTTGTTGATTTCGCTCATCTCCTGCCCCTTATGACTGGGATTGAGAGCATTGCGACATGCTCACACGCACACTTTCGTTATCTTGTTGGATTCGTTCGTCTATTCTCTCTACTCTACTATATCGCATGTTTCTTGCTTTATTTCTTCGATGGCCAAATGATAGGCTTGATTTTTTTACATTTTGTATGGGATATTTCTATATTTTTCGTACAAAACATATTGAACGACAAACAGCGAGACTCCCGATTTTTATATGAATATATAGATTATATAGATATTACGAATTAAACTATTCGCTAGGACACACAATTTGAATGTACTCTACCTAATAGAACTGTGGCACAAGAGAGAGATTCTATATATACGGTGCTATAAAGATCATAGAGATCTCCCTTTCCCTTTAAAAACTCTCTATAAATATACCATCGGAGTACCCTATGCGTTTGTATAATTAATTGTTATATTTATGTACTTACATGATGCATCACATCACGATGCGTGGCAGGCAGATCTTCTTCGACCACAAAGCGTCCATAGAGCGGTGCATGACGCTGTCTGCCGCCGCCGCCACCACCGTTACCACCACCCTGCGATGCGTCCACGGCAACGGTGCCCGCACTGGACCCATAAGCAGATACTGTCGGTCAGAGAGAAAGAGAGCATAAAGGGAAATTATCAATGAGTGTCACGGTTGCATGAATGTATTGAAAATATTCTCTTAAGATATAATGGAAATGTTGAGATGAGTTGAGTCTATCTAAAATACTAGGATACGATATTTTAATAGACTTTTAAGGAAATTAAAGAAAGAGAAAATATGTCCGTTCGCTTATGGGAACATTTTATAGCGAATAGGCGTCATTCGGGCATCATCGAGGCTTTCGGTGAAGGGTGTTCCTTTCACAACTTTTTTGCGATTGCTGCCTAGAATTCTATTTAGAATTTTAAGATTATGGGGCACGATGATACTTTGGAAACAGTTCAAAAGTGTTTAAAATTATGTTAGAGATTTCTGTAGAGACTCCAAAAGGTCCTAAACGGCTCATAGCTTAATTTTCGATTTCCTGAAATTGTAGGGTATTCTGCACCTACCCGTATTTTAAGGCACCAAATAGCCATAATTTGTAGCTTGTAATAGTAATATTTTCCTCACTCGAAGAGCAAAAACCAAACCAAAAGTGGATGTGTGTAACACCCAGAAGGAAGCGTTTCCGACCCCATACAGTATATATATTCTTGATCAGCATCAATAGCCGATAGCCTGTCCGTCCGTCTTGTTTGACGTCTAGTTCTCAGAGACTATAAGAGCTAGAGCAACCAAATGTTATATGTAGACTCCTGTGATATCAAAACAAGTGTCCTACAAGTGCTACAAGTCCCCACGGAGATCCACAAGTATTGGGTATTCCCAACGTTCCCGCTAGTTTGGTGAACATTTGTCAGACATATTTTATTTTTTAATTTTTATGAAAAAATCCCAAATAGTGGACAAAGTTTTGGCACTCAAAGGCACTACTTTTTGTGTGATAAATTTTGGGATTTTTTAAAAGTTTTCTATAAATCCGGAATATTGAATATTAACCATGATATTCTCTGAATCAGTATTTAGATCTCAGGTGTATTTCTGTGTGTATGTTTCTGTATGTTCTTATTGGTTCAATGACCGATGGGAAACGCTCTTTGGCCCCAGAACGAACAAAATGCACCTGTTCTCTCGAGAAACACACACCTGACGTACAGAGGAAGACGCTGCCAGCGGCAGCACACGAATGCTGCCAAAATGATGATAATGATGATCAGAGGAGCGAGGAAAACGACGGATGAAGAAGGGAGAAGCAGAAGCAGCAGCAGCAGCAGCAGCAGCAAAAAGTAGAGTGTGGAAAGGCAGCAGAAGAGTCGGTACAGAAATACCTTTTACCTTCTTTAATTTTAGAACCAGACGGAACTGAAAATTATTACACAATATGCAAGCAGAGCAGACAGGCAAGAAGATCATCTCGCAGTGTACACACACACACACACATATGTGTAATTCTACTGCTGTCATGTGTTGCCATGTTGCCATCCTTCTCTCTCTTCTCCTCTGTTCTGTGTTTTGCTTTGTGCATCAAAAATAGCCTCAAACAAAGCCAAAACAAAGCAAAAGAGGAGCGAGACAGTAGCATTTACTGCGTTGATTTTTCTTTCTTTCTTTTTTTTTTTGCTTGTGGATGAATGATATTGCATTTCATCATACACGAATGAAGAAGTCAAAGCTCGACGATGATTAATCGATTAATCCATCAATCAACGAAAGAGGGAACCCCTAGACGTGGAACGGAAGAAGCAATGGAAATGGAACGCAGAAGAAGAACTAGAGGTGGAACCAGCAGAATAACTAGAGATGGAACGCAGGAGAAGCTCTAGAGGGGGAACCCAAAAGCACTAGCGAAGAGGACGAATGATCTAGAGGGTTGGCAACGCCAAGGACACAAAATACGATGAAAGAGGGTTATAGAACCGTGCAGGAAACACTTTAAAGACGGAGATCCTGAATTTCATTTGCTTACAACTGTAGGATGTTGCAGGTATTGCGTGATGTTGGTTCTGCTTCAGTGCACCGCCGCCGCCGCTGATCAAGATATTTCCATCCACCTGATCGGCAGTCGCGAAAGAAGAGTTCCCCCGCTGGACTATGTGGAAGCGGGAGCCGATTTGCCGTGATCCATGATCCACATGATCCACATGATCCACATGATCATGATCATTATTAACGTAGCTTCTCACACGATGCTGGCAGCCAATTTGTGCCAAATAATTGATGTAATGAGGCGGCGGCGGCAGTGGCGCCTCCTTCAGCATTGATAGAGGGTTTGGGTCGCGTGCAGCAAAGGGTTGCATGTACGAGGATGCATGTGATGATGATGACGACGACCAGGCGCCGCCGCCACCGCCGCTGCCGCTGCCGGATGCTGTGCCAGTGGCAGTGGCCTTCTCATGTCCATTTGCAACGCTGCCGCCGTTCATTGACTGCCAATAAACCAAAGCCGTTGACATCTTTGTTTGATATTTTCACTCGGAAAAAAATATATATCCGTATTTTTACTGGGGATTTCCGTTATTTGTTTGCTTTCCTCATGGGAAGAGAGCAATACTCATTGATTTTGGGCTTCGATTCTCCCCACACAGCTCTTCAACTTTTCTTCTTTTCAGAAAGAGACTAGACCTCAGTAGAACAAAGCTATCTGCACCTTAATCCATCCAAGGGGTGATTGATTGGGGCCACAGTTTTGTAGAAGTTACTTTAGAGTCTTTTTTGCACTCGAAGTCGCGCCGCATTGCGCGATCTGCGCCGCATGAAAATTCAACGAAAACTGCGGTAATTTTCTTGGCCCCAAAGTCTTGCCCATTCGTTGTCGCAGTCGTTGCGGGATTTATTTATACGGAACAGCATTTACGTTGTCGTCGTTGTTTTCGATGTCGCTTTAGTCAGTGAGTGCATTTCTGGTCCTCTCATGACGACGATCGTCGTCATCATCATCAAAAAAGTAAGGAATGCAAGCGGTGGACCACTAGAGATCGTAGCGCTTTCAACACTTGCCCAAAACAGTGTTGATAAGCTATAAATGCAGTACGAGGGGAGACCAGACTAAATGGAATATTGCAGCACGCTTCAAAACAGTGTTGGGCAGTTCTGGCCGCGTTTCCAGTGTTGTTTAAGTTACTGAATAAGTAGGGAATTCACTCAAATCGCTGTGTGACACATCTTCTATCTACCAATAAATCGCTTTCCATTGACTTAACTTTTCTTCAGAACACTGTTCTCTCTTCGGATCCAGTGTTGGGCAAGTATATTTGCATTTAAAATAATGGAAATTGTTTTAAATCGTTGTAATCATTATATCTTTACATCTTTCTATTTGTTGCTTATTTTTTTGTTTAGCACATGTTTTTTTTTCGTTGGCCAGACCCTCCAGATGGCTTGGAGAGTTCCGCTTTTAGTGATAATGGAATTTCAATAATGGCAGAGACATACGAGACGGAAGTGAATGGAAGTGATTCTACAAAACGTGAAGCTCGAAAGGTGCGATGCGTTGCACCTTCCGCATTTTTCTGGGAAACAGATATGTATATTCTTTTCTTTGCTTCTTTGTTTACAAAAAATGTAGTTTAGTCCCCTATATAGTTATGAAACGCACTGTGCAAGCGTGTAGTGTGTGCCTGGCTGGGTCTGGCGTGCCTGTCAAAGGATAATTTTGGACTCGCGCGCTGAAACCCCAATTATAAAATGCTTATAAATAAATTGAACGTTTGCCAATCGATGGAAAGAGTTGAATGATAAATGACTTGGACACCACAAAAAGAGAGGGAGAGAGCGAGAGATACACTCTCGAATACACAGCCAGACAGACAGATAGTGAAGGAGAGTAGGAGAGACTTCTAATTATAGAAATCTCTGTTTATAATATGGGGTCCCCGTGACTGCCATTACGACAAACGTCTGTGACAAGCTGTCGCTCTGTCGCACTGTCGCACTGTCGCACTGTCGTTGTGTCACTTCCAACCCAAAAATAGTTGACGACATTTTGCATTTGCAGGTTTTTGCATCACCGGAATGCGAACACGGAGAGAGCGCAATCGCATCTACACAGCCGACTGCTGTTCCTACAAAATACATGATTGAAGGAATGGACGATGAATGACGCAGATGGATTGTTGGTTGGATGATGCCGTAGTGTGGCTCTCTTTCCTTTACTCATGTAACTAGTTTCAATCAATCGCATACACGGCCGGGAGTACATCCGCCTGGTGAGCGCAGCAGCAAGTGGAGTGCCGACCCAGAAGGTGAGTGAGTCATTGGGGGGAATGGCGGAGGGGGGGGGAACATATGGTGCCACAGCTAATCATTGCCACCATAAACACCACCTTCAGCCATTGGCTCCCCCCTTCTTATTTGTAATTTGTATGCACCCAAAAAGTAAATATGGGGAAGAACTCGTCGTGCAACGCCCCTGGAGTGGGAGAGAAGCGGAAGCGTCGCACAAGGTGAGTGATAAGCAAACAGTTGACACAAAATGCTAACTGTTAACGACTCTCTGGCTGAATGGGGGGAGAGCTCCCAATGCGTAACATTTCAGGGGAAAACAGGTGACAGTAAATTCTACGAAATTTTACGATCATTTTCCTTATTTACCAATGAGAAAATAATACCCCTTTCCCATCCTGTTTCTGCTTTCGAGCTGGGCTTGGATTCGAGAGAATTTGCGGTACATTTTCTCTGAATTCATGGTGGCTTTGCCACCTGCTTTCTGTAAATAATGAAGTTGGCTGCGCCTCAAATCATTTCGTGAAAGTGGGTTCCCCCCCACAGGGTTTTATAGGAGCTTTAAACAAATATTGATCTGTTGTAAAGACCAGCTGGATTATGTGGAAGACTGCTGTAATTTTACCCTCACTTTTGCCCAACTGGGGCTGCTTATCGATGCCTAAATATCGCATTCCAGTATTTTTGATATTATTAACTCTGAGTAAAAGGTATTCCATAGATTATTGGCTAGTTATTGTATCGTGCAACACTGTTTTACTGTGGTTCTATTATTACCACAAGGCATTTGGATTTTTAGGTTTCTAATGAAGTTAAGGGTCTGTTGAGCACTCCCTCCAAATGTTGAGATCTCCTTCTATAGAGTACAAGGCATTCACATGGGGATCCTCTATCTGTCTATCTATACATCTGTGTATGTATATTGTTATCAATTTGTTGATGGCGACTGTACTTACATTTCTGTTTATTCTTATCCATAACGCCGCCGCTATTCGTATCCTCTAATCTATACATGTGGGGGCTGATGTTTTTTGTTGGTTTACGCGGTTGAATGATTAATGAATTAGTTCTTAGATTTATCTAAATATATATATCGTGTGTATATATATATTTTACTCTTTATATATATATAACATATGTATATGTTTGTATATATATACTATATATATATCTATGTATATATATTGCGTTATTTGTTCATATGATTTTGGATAAATTGAATCAAATTATGTCAGATTTTGGTTGGTTTTGTTTTGTGATTTTCTATAAATTAAATATGTTTTTAATTTTTGTTTTTTCCTTCTACTTCTTGATTCGCGTGTTGCTTTCGCTGCTTTCCTTATGGTTCTACTTCTTCGGTTGCTTTTGGTTCTTCGTCCTTTTTCTGGTTGTTTTGTTTTCTTCAGATGTCGTTCTGTGTTCTGTCTTGTGTCTTCTATCGGTTACTTCTCTTCCGTTTAGCTTCCGCTTTCTTCGTGTCGTTGTTCTTGAATATTGGATTGCATTTGCGATTTGCTTTTATTGCTTTTTGTTTGTTTGTTTGTGTTTTTTTTTTGTTTTTTTGTTCGTGTATACAAGATATTACATATGTAGTTGTATATGTATAAGTGTGGCTATATTTATATGGTATTTATGCATATAGATATATATTTATATATATATATGTATATATATTTATGTATGTGTGTTTATGTATGTATGTTTGTGTATTTGTGTGTGTTTGTATTTTGTTGTTGTTGTCGAATACTTTTTTGTTGTTGTTTTTGCGTTGCGATTGTTTCTTACTTTTGTTATTTTTTTATTTAAAATTATGAACACATTCGTTTAAAGTCTTTTTGTTGTTTGTTGGGATTTGCTTTGAATGTTGTATTTTTGTTTTTTGTTTTGTTTTTGTTGTTGTTATATCACTGTTTTATTCCTCCTTGTTATCCATTCCATTCCTTCGGTTGCATATGTTTCGTTTTTTGTTGTTGTTGTTGTTGTGTGTTTCCGAGTGAGATGACACTATGTTTACAGCTGTTGTTGTTGTTGTTGTTGTTTCTCGCAGCAGCACATTTAGCGGTGCTTTTCATTTATTTACCGTTAGCACAGCAATTACACGCAATGCACTCACCCATGCACAAACCCACATGCAAATCCAGCATACGGCGGCACACGCACACGCACACGCACACGCACACACCTCTATGAGGCAGGCCCACGAGCGTGTTTGTGTGCTCTAATGAAAACAAAAACACACACACACACGAGCAACGCACTCTCGCACACGCACACGTACACACGTACACACGCACACAAGCACGAACACGCGCAAATGCAGGCGCCTCTACAAAAAGCTCAAGGGATCTCGGATCTTGCGTCCCGTTACACGCGACACGTCTCGTTTGAAGCTTAATTTTTGTTATTCCACTTTTTGCTGCGTTTTCTTAACCTTTTTTTTTCTCTTTTGCGTTGTGATTTTCCTTGCCGTTTGTTTTGCTTTGTTTTCTTAGGTTATGGTAGTTTTTGTTAGATTACTGCAATTTGTATTGTTATTGATCTTAAAGGAATTTTCTTTAAGATTTGTGGTCGCGACGGCTCTGCTGCGGTTGCACATTTTGCGGGGTATCATCCGATGCAAACATTTCACAATTATTATTGGTATTCCATTTGAAATATTCACGATAAATCCAACACACAATTAAAAAAAAAAAATGTTTAAGTCTAAAAACAATAATCAACTAACATTAATGACACGACTTTTCGGGGCGTCGGATTTAAATGTTGTTAAAATGTGGAGGCCGTTTTTGTAGGATTTTCATTTTCATTGCCGGTTTTTTCCATGGTAATACCCGGTGTTCCACTGTGCAGCAGCTGTTTATAATCCTTGCTGTCTGTTCCACTGTAATCCCGTTGCTTTCACGTTCCACTGTGCCGGTGGCTGCTGTCTGTTGTTTTTTCTTTTACCCTCTCTGCATAATAATCATTTGAAAATCAGACAGCTGTTGGTGGTCCATAGAGAGAGAGAGAGAGAGCTCTAAAAGGCTGCAAAAAAAAACAGAGAGAGAAGAGGTATACAAGAATTAGTTTAGCTGTGATTTATACAAAGATTTAAGGTATATGTACTAAAATAAGTTCTATGTTTAAACGCAGCATTCGCCGCGTCGCAAAATGCAAATAATAATAATAAGGAATAGGAAAAAAACACACACAACACGACGACGCTTGGCTGCTGCTGCTGTTCTGCTGTTCTGCTGTTAAGAAACAAACTGTTAAAAAGTTAACTGCGTTTGCGGCTCTCTCTCTCTGCTGCGGCTCTGCTCTGCTTGAGAGAGAGAGAGAACTCTGCTGCTGCTAGGTTCTGCTGCTGCTTCTGTTCTCTCATTCACTCTTCTGCCTGCCTGCTGCCTCTTCAGCTTTCTGCTGTTGGCAGCAGGTGAACGAACGACACGCGACGCAAAAAGCAGAGAGAGAACAGCGCCAGCAAGTGAGAGAGAGTTTAAGCGAGAGAGCTCCGAACGCGAGTTCTAAGGCAAGTTCAACGTGTGAGCTGTGGCTGTGGCTGTGGCTGGGAGCTGGGGCGCCGCCTAGCCTCTGACATTGCACACACTCCTCTCCCACCGCCCATCTCCCACCTGCCACTTTCAGACAGCTGTTTCAAGTTCGATTTCGATGTCGCAGCCTTCCCTGCGATTGCTCTTGTTGTCAAGGCGAACATTTAGGTTTTTTCTTTTTTGTTTTTTGTGTGTTTTGTTTGCAATTTTAATTACAAATTTTCGTTGATTAACTAAAATACACACATACGTGAGCAAATATTTTTTTGCTTTGCTTTTGCCATTGCCATTGCCTTTGCTTTTGCCTTTGCTTTTGCGGTGAAAGTGGCATTAGAGGTGGTTGTTGCTTTTGCTTTGGCCTTTACTCTGGCCTTTTTCTTTTGGCTGTAACTTCGTTCTGGCGGGTGGCGGCACATGTCGGCCTTTGGAGGAGAGCAGAGTCGAGAGTTGTTGTTGCCAGGGGCCAGAGAGGCAGAGCGTTGCCACCTCGTCTGCTACTGCTTAGCCTTTTTTCTGTTTTTTGGTACAGTAATCACTAGGTGCATGTCAAATGGAAACCCTTGCCCGACTGTTAGAACTTTATACCTTTTTGCCTTCCCCCTACAGGTGTTTCCCCTCCCCTTTGTGGAAAACTGAAAACCCAATATTTTAAATATAAACCATTTCAAAATGTAGGAATTTGGCGAATGCCACACACGTTTTTAATATTTATAATCTTCAAAGATTTCCGAACCCTTCTATTCTTGATTATTTCCATTTCGTGACTGGAAAACACAAACATTTGCCGCAGTAGATATTGCGAAAATGAAAGATACCATAGATAAACAGGTCTATCCAAAAGGTCTATCATTCTTGAAAATCTTTTGCTAAATTGCTTACATTTTAAGTCTAAAAATCACTAACTGTAGACACAATATTTGTACAAGAATTTTAATAGCTTTTAGTAGAATAATCTTTGGAAAATAGTAATTTATTCGAAATTAAAAATCCTTCCACCTTCCCACAGTACATCTCTGTTGTGGTGGTGGTGTGGCTGTTGCCTTTTCGTGTGAATGGATGGGATTTCGGCGAAAATTATTCACACAAAACAAGTTTGAAACAAACAAAAACAAAAAAGTGCACTCTGTGAGGTAGTGTCCCTGCCATGCGGAATGATCATTGCCGCTGCTGTGAATCATTCCTTTTGGCCATAAAATGAGTCACTTTCCGGGCTTGCCAGAAGATTCCCTGATTCCCTGGGGATCTGTGGGAGGGGCCCATCATCATGTGGGTGACTCCACCCCCTACCCCTACCCTTACCCTTAGACAATGGCAGTAACTGTGTTTATTTGCGGCCTTATCAATTTTCACGAGTGACCGCTGTGACGTCACAAATCGCCAGTTTGCCTTACCCTATCCCCAATCTCCGTCCCTGCCCCGCCCTGCCTGTCTGCTGTTCGATATTTTTAGCCCGCCGGCAACAACCAAATGCCTGCTTCATCATTTATTTTTGGGCCAACACGAAACCGACAGCAGCAGTAAATATAATAGAAAGCAGAGCCCTCCTACACACGAAGCAGCAACCCACGCACTGGCAACCCTGGCAATCCCCCCCCACGCCCCCAGGAGATTTGTGATACCTTTGTAGAGCACCAGAATGATCCTCAATCAAAATCAAAGTTCCGTTCCAAGCTGGCAAAGAATTCTGTTGGTTGATATCTCGTTATCGATTTTGGTATTTTATGGAATCCCTTCCATCAACAATGATCTGCTATACACAACGATATAGCTCACAGTCTTTAAAAAATAAATCAAGAATTCATCCCCACAAGGGACATATTCCTATTGGATTTTGGTCCCATTTACGGAGCTGCCACCCCATCATCCCATGGAATTATCTTGAATCTACAAATGTGAGAACTTTATTTCATTATTATTGCAATCGGATAGGCCCAAAAGGTGCCGTTTATTCCTGGGATGCCGCCTTCTGGTGCTTACATACAGATTGAATGGATATGGCAACTGAAATTCCAAATACTTTTTGTATACGGATATTGAATATCTTAAGTCTGAGAAATAGCGAACATCTGTATAGGGGGTACGGTAGGGTATCCCATAACCTAAAGGCGTGTGATTTGTATATTTATTTATAGCGGAAAATGGATGGAAAATTTTATACCCTTCCTCTACAATCGTCGAATGACGTTAATTCTCAGAAAAAGTCTAATAAACGAATGGCCACAAACACACTAGCGATTCGGTATCCTTTTACAATGAAATCCCAAAACAGATATTATTATTTTTTTTCTAAACATATTTGGGAGAGTGTTTTTTTCTACAAGAGAGCAAAAGTCCCTTGAGTTCATTAAAACTACGGAATATTTCTTTTTTTAAGCTCCATAATATTTATATTTTTGTGTGAATGTCAAATTTGTCATTCACATGTAAACTTTGGCTGTAAAATACCGACAGATACCAAAGCCTCTTAAACTCTGCGATTATGTATTTCGCAAACCCAACCCTCAGTTTATGATCATAATTTTCTAGCGGCATTTTTTGTGCGCGACGTTTGACGTCAAAACGTGACTGTGCGCGTGTCTGTCTGTCTGTCTGTCTATCTATCTCTGTGTGTGTTTGTAAGAGTAAAAATCTCTCTCTCTCTGGCAGCGGCATTCACTCAACGTTCGTTCTCTTCTTTTGCTGCCACCCACACGCCTCGCGCTGACCCAAATTGATGGCCGGCTGCTGCTGCTGCTCCTCTTCTTGCAAACATTTTGCCATCTGTTTGTTTGTGTTTGTGGCTCTAATTGAAAATTGAAAATATCTTATAAATGGTGTGGGGGAAAGGGGAGTACTAAGTACTACCTCTGGCAAGCTTTCCCACGATTTTCCCTCCTTTGGGGTTTTTTTTTTTTTTAGCAGCGCAACATGTGGCTGGCAACGCCTCTACTACCGCACAAGAAAGAACGTTATCTTATAACAGTGCTCTCTCCTGATGGATGGATCACAGTGTTAATTCGTAAACGGGTTTTTTTTCGGCAAAGAAGAGAGAAGAGATTTGTGCACCGAAAGACCTCCCTCAGACGGCATGGAATCGCTGGACAGAGAAAGGGTTCAAGTCAAGTGATCACTGTACTTGTATGCATGTGTGTGCTTTTGTGTTTGTGCTCCAGATTTTCGGACGGTTGCGGTGCGACTTTGTCTACTAAAAATACTTCGTAGGCGGGTTCGTTTCTCTCTCCTATCCCATTCCCATTCCCTTTCCCTTTCCCCTTTCTTCCATTTCTTCTCCTTCGTATTCGTTAGTATCGCTGATTAACCAAAAAAATGAAAGAAATGCAAAAAAAAAAGAATAATAATAAACGACAACAAAACGGTTTTTGCGCTTTTGAAAGCATTTTTTTATTTATTTTTTTAATGAAAGAAAGAAGACTTTCATGCTTTCTCTGTCTCTCGCTCTCTCTGCCTCCCACCCAATCTTTCTTTTGGCTGATTTTTCGGTTAAGTGCGTAGTAGGGAGAGAGAGAGAGAGAGAAAGAGAGACTGTTTGGAATTTACATGCCGCAAAAGATTGAGAGAGAGAGAGAGAGAGAGGGGAGAGCTTATTATATATCGTTGTTGTTGTTTTTACTGTTTTGTGTGTTGTGGTTCAAAGTTCAATGACCGATTCTGTCGAAACAACACTGGAAACCGAAACGAAGCGCACGGCATTCGCGTCGCGGCGCAGTCGCAGAGCTTTGTTTCGCAGCAGCGTCGACGCCGACGACGACGACGACGACTGGACTGCCTTCCCCGTACACATGGACAAGGTCACACAGACACGGCAATTTATAGCTGTGTGTATAAAGTTGATTTTTGCTCAATACGCAATAAAAGCTCAACAAAATGCCTCCAACATGTGCCAATAATAATAGACATAAAGACGTGCGAGACTGTGGGATCGTAAGAGAACGGAGAACCGGAGAATCTGAGAATTCGAAACGCGATATATATATTTTAAAATCCCTTTGAGTTTAGGATTGAGAATTAATTATCTTTACTTTACTTTACTTTTTTTATACCTTGTATATGTTCTGAAATGCTGAACATCAATCTTTTAAAAAGGGTATCAAAAGTGTCGTGACCCCTTCAAATCTGTTGCCACTACCATCTTCCCCTGTATTTTACTTCCACTTTCTCTTTCTCCCTCTCTCTCTCTCTCGCTCCCCCTTATTGTTGTTCTCAATGTTCTGTTTTTTTATGGTAATTCAAAACTGCGCATTCATTGATAACCGACGGCGACGGCGCAGAGCTTTGACAATGGCATTGAAAGCAGCGGAGAGAATGCAGCAGCAGAAACGATCGTCTGCTTGCTGCTCTGCTGCCGCCGACTGCGACTGCAGTTGGAAGGAAAGAAAGAGAGACAACACAATACTACGGGCAGGTGGCGCAAAAAGAGAATACAAATTATAATTAGATGTTATTTTTGCTTGCGACTTCGGTGTTTTTCCAGTCGGCACTTTCCCGACCTTTCTATCCGCTTCAACTTTTCCAATAAAATATAAATATAAAACATTTTCTTTTGGAAAATTCTATTCCCTGATAGAATCTCTCTAGAATAAAGAATACCGCCTTTCACCTCTTGGCATTTCATTGAAAATATTATAAGTTTTATTGTGCGAGAATATCATTTGTCGCAGCAAAAAAATGTATTTATTGCATGGGAAATTATTCGAATAGTCGTAGCGGAAGGGATATACATATAGAGAGAGAGAGAGGGAGGGAGGGAGAGAGGAGTATTCTTTCTCTTCCGGCAGCCCTTCATCATCTGCTAACCAAAAAGCGATGGATGTCAAAACGTGTGACGTCGACAGCGGTCGAGGCGCAAGGCCTAGCGGCAGCGGCAGCAGCGACAGCACCCGACAGACAGCACGTGTAAAAGCATCTGTTTTGTTGTGAATTAATGACAGTTGATGCGGCGACTGATGCCTCTCTTCTCTCTCGCTGGTGAGCTTTGCTCTGCAGCCCCCTCTTTCGCACAACACGTGTGCTGCTGCTGTTGACCGAAGCATCGGCGTCGGCGTCAACGTTAGCGTAAGCGCAAGTGCTGCGCAATTGTTGGGGGCCTCCTAATGGAAGTATTTTTCGAAACGCATTTAGGCAATTAATCGGTTCTTGAGGGAGGGGAGGGGGGGGGGGGGCCAAGAGACAGAGAGAAAGAATAAGGGCCTGCCTTCACTCACAAGTGAAAGGACACATTCGTTTCTAACAAGACATCATCGATGAAAGATATCGAATATTGATTTAAACAGATTTTTTGAAGGGCTTTGAAAGGATTACTGGTTTTTCTGATTTCAATCTACCAAAAAACCAGAAAGGGAGCCCCAAAAGCAGGCGGTGGTTAGTCGATCTACTATCATATCTCCTATTCTATCACAACCAGTCTGATATTCTTTGGGAACTGCTAACAAAAACGAATAAAAAAATAAAATAAAAAAAGATGAAAATATACTATACTATAGCCCTTCTCCTTTTGGTGCCTGTCGCGCCTCTGGTGGTCCAGGGCTCTCGGATTGGACCTCGTGGACTACTGGAATGCAACGGCAGCTTCTATACCGATGACGACAACTCCTGTGACGAACAGCAAGAGCCGATTGAAGACGATTCATCGACATACATCGCTTTGTGTGATCCTGGGAGTGCCATGACCGATGAGCCGCCAGATGATGCCAGCTCTTTCAGCTCGTACAGTTCCAGCAACTCTTGGAAGAACTCTGGCCAGAGACTGGGACCAAACGCTGCGGCTGCAGCCATAGCCCAGAACGCCGCCGAGGTGGCAAAGGCCGCCAATGAAGCCCAGGCCGGTGCTGCAGAAGATGCCGCCAAACTGGTCAAAATGCAACTGGCGGAGAAGGCAATGCAGGCGGCCCGTGCCGTCAATGCGGTGCTGGACGGCAAGGAGACGATCGTCGAGAGCACCCTGCGGCAGCTACGCGAGGCCGAGGATGTGGTCCGCCAGGTGATCGCCTCCCTGGTGATCAGCGAGGCGAACGCCCAGAGCGCCAGTGCGGCTAGCACATGCGCCCACGCCCAGAAGGGACGCCTCAAGATTATCCTCAGACACTACAAGGCCAGACTCTTCAACATCGATGACCTCGACAAACAGGTGATCGCCGATCTCCGCGAAAAGTTCGAAATGCTCGCCAAGGCCGAAGAGCGGGCCCAAAGTATCGAGCGCCAGCTGGTTTCGGCCATCGAGGAGTACGAGCAGCTGAAGAAGGACGTCAAAAAGGCAGCCACTGCGGCTGAAGAGGCCCGTCAAAAGGCTGCAGCCGTGGCATCCACACCCAAGGGGCGAAAATTGGCCACCGCCACTTTGAACGGTATTCTCGCACTCTATGGCCAGCGACGCCACCAACGTGAGGCCAAGATGCTGCAGATGAAGCAACAGAAGCAACATTCTTAAATTGATTTGCTTCTTCCTTTGACACTTGATGTTCCCCTGAATTTGTTATTAAAGTTTATTTCTTAAATTAAGGGAATTTTAAATATTCCAGAGTTAGATGCAAAACATTCCCTTCGATTCGGGAATCAATCGTCGTAGATAGCATTATTCTCTTCAATTACGGATTATAAATATGGCGATAATATTACCAAAAGATGCTCACAAGAGGCATGTCCTTGAACAAATTATTCTGAGGGATTTGTCTTCTGGAAATTTCTGAGAACTGGTATGGTTCTTATGGAAATTATATGAAGGATTCATTAAAATCCTTATATATCTTTTCTATGCTCGAAAATCTCAGATGAAGAAGTTTTTAAATTGCGAAATAATAATAGAATAATGCGATTTGGAATGCTTCCAATTGAAGTGAAGGATTTTAATAAATAAAAAAACCTGACATACCATTGCGTACATATAGAGAGATTTAAAGTAATGTATGTCCAATCTATTTAGACTATTATAGAAGTAGGAATGCGTTTATTTGTAGAACTCAAAGATTTTGCGGCTATTATTAAGAAAAACTTGCTTTATGGATGAATCGTGCGCAAGATACAGATTCAGGAAGCAGAATCGTATCGGTATTTGCATGAAAACTCCAGGATGATATCTATAGCCTCGTGATTTTGAGATTCCTTTAAGAATTTCCCTCTTTCGCTTCTTCGTTGGGGGGAAAAACAGCTGCTGTCCAAAATTTCCCAGCGGCCTGTTGTCCAGCTGTTTGCCATGCGGCAAGAGGCATTTACATTTATCCCAGGGGGCGAGGGCGGAGGGGCGGCAACGATGAATGGGTGGACTGTATGGGGTGGCGGGGGGAAGGTGTGGTGAAATGGCAGGGTTGCCACCTCAGTGCGCTGTTGCGCCGCATTGCTAAGTGTTGTTGTTATTGCCGGCGGCAGCAGCAGCCAACGTTGTTGAAACTTGAAACGCCAACGGAAGAGCAAAGGGCGGCCGCCGCAAAGAGAATAGCAGTGGGAGAGAAAGAGAGAGCGTAAGGGCGCGCGCATTTTGCAGTCTGCAAAAACAAAAAACAAAAAAAACGTGCGAAGAGCGGGGAAAACACGAACACACATACGCACAAACATGGAAATCTCTCTTCCATTTGTCCATTAAAACAAAAGTCAATTCAATTTTCAATTAGCACCGTTATAATACTTAATATTTAAGGGAAAACCATTTTCACACACAAACACAAAAGTATTTTGCCACTATGCCTCTTTATTTGCAGACACAAGTACAGGACATACACATATACAAAAGATGCAGAGACAGATAGAGAGACGAGCGTGGAGCGAAGGACGCCGATGCAGCTGCGCCGCAAAGGGGTTTGCCGGATCTGCCGGATTTCATTTTGTGCATTAACAAAATGAGCAACCAAGATTTTTGTAGTGCATTGTGGATTTTTGTCAGCAGGTGGACCTTTTTCCCTCTCTTTTCCGCCCCCCTCGTTTGCTTCCCTTCCAATAAGAAGTGGTCGATGGGGGAGGGGTAGGCAGGGCCATGCAGAAAAAATGCCGGTAAATTCAATATGTTTGGGCCTGCTGCGTTTAACAGCACGCTGTTAATCGTTAACAGTGCAGTGTTGTTTTCCTGACGCCTGGCTTTGACTTCTTTTCCACTCCGCTCTCGCTCTCTCGTTTCTCTTTTGCCTTTTCAACATAACCAAACATCACTTACAGTTGCTTTTGGACTGAATGCTGCTGCTGCTGTTCTACCGATGCCGCTGCTTTTGTTATTAATTTTACACTGATGCTTGTTTTCTATGTTATTATTGCTTTATTCCACAAACAGCAAATGGCGATTGTTGTTTTTGTTGATTGTTGCAGCTGCTGCTTTGGTTGTTGTTGTTATTTCTGCTGCTGCATAAAAACATGTTTCACTTAAAAGTAGAAGAAGAAACGTTGATGACGACGCTGCGCTGCTGCTCCTGCACACACGCACGCGAACGCACACTAACACACGCACACAAACACACACTCCCGTATAGAGAGCGAAAGAGAGAGAGACAGAACTGACAAACAAAAAATTTGCCTGACTTTTTTCTTTTCTTTTTTGTTACTTGTTGTTGTTGTTGGTGCTGCTGCTGTATTTTCCCTTCAGCAATGCTTGCACTCGAATGCTAAAATAATTGATTAAATACACACACGCATGAGAATTTCATCGCTTTCAATTGAAAACCGAAAAAGCAAAAACGAAAAAAATATACGATTCGTCTTGGCTGTCAGTTTGTCCCGTCCGGCCGTCTGCGGGCCAACAAAAGAGCGCGTCGCAACAGCGAGGAGCGGGTAGCAGCACGGTCGGTCGGTCGGTCGGCACACGGCCGCAGCAGCAGTGTACAAAAAAGGCACACCAAATGAGGGGAGAGACAGAAAGAGAGAGCGAGCGAGCGAGAGGGAGAAAAAGAAGAAAAAAAAAAACAGACAGCGAAATTGGAATGCTATGCGTTAATTTTTTCCGTTTGATAATTGGCGGCGGCTTTCCCCGCGATTCGCCTGCAAGCACTGCACTGTCGATGGGCGTCGGTAGGGGGATTTTATGCTGTTATTTTTTCACTCACTTAATTACCAAATGGAGAATTGGAAACACAATAACAAAAAATAAACCACACACAAAAATTTATGCTCAGCGTTTCGTATTAGTGTGACCGATGCGGACTTATCGATAAAATATACCGTCCGTTCCTCAGAAATATACCAAAATATACCGTCTCTTTTTGAAAAAATACCGCAAATATACCGACGAATTCAAGTTCTATTTTACATATTCATCGTTTTTGATATTCCGTTGAATATTCTCAGCTATATAGCACATTTAGCCATGCCTACATAATTTTATCCGATTCATGAATCATTTTCCTACAAGACTGGCTTATTTTAAGTACTCGTCTTTCAATATAAATCCAATGATTGTTTATAAAATAAGGTTTGAACAAAAAACAACAATTTAAAAAATTAAATTTGTTATACATGGTAGCTACACGCTAACTGCACCTCTGCTACATAGTAACTACATTTTGATGCAAAAACCAGTGTGCGAAACCATTTTTGCACATGCCTTTTTTTTACATACCCATACACATATTCTAGTATATAGCGTCAAAATATACCGATAAAAACCTTTTTTACATTCTGATTACATAGATTGAGTCGACTGACAATCGCTAGAGCTGCGCGCTAAAGTTTGAAAGTGAATGAGTGACCAGGATATGAATGCAATCCAGTGGTATAAATGATGCAGGGTGGCACGATTGAGAGAGCGAAAATTAAAAAACCTGCTTACGAAAGTTTCTATACCATATACCCTGTTGCTTAAAACTGAAATTTAATATATTGATGAAATATACCATTATATACCGATAAGCCCATATACTTTCAACTCAATTTCGACGTCAAAATGTACAGAAATAAATATAATACACCGTAAATGGTCACCTAACGTCGACTACGAGAAGAACATGGAATGACGGCGGCGACGAAGACAACAACAACGGCAACCGATAACCGATATTGACGAGAGCGGAGGACGAATTTAATTTGTTTACAGGAGTATCTCGCTGCTTACTAGTGCTGTTGCTGCACCACACACACATGCACGCACACACACACACACTTTGTGAAATGTGTTAATTTTTTTTAATTCAGGTGCAGGCTCAACAACAAAAATTAAAAATACTATCACCGCCGCTTCCGACGAGTAAATTAACTTCTCTTCCATCCCTAACTGGACATTAAGGTGGCTAGTGTATATACCCGGTTGTGCACAAGCGCGGTGCATTTTTATGGTTGGCGCCAAATTTGAATAAATGCGAAATTAATCCGAGCACTACATTAATGAACACTACAAGTACATACATTTTTAGGGGAGTTTATTGGGATTCTACAATTAGGCTGAGCTGAAAAAATGGAAAATAATAAGCAATTATTTATTCTCTGGAACCACTGAACCCAACTCTGTTATCGCACTGCCAAGTGGCCCGCCCTGTTCTGTAAAGTAACTGTAAAGCCGCACAGATGGCGCCACGCAATTTAAAGGATAATTTGAATTATTTTATTTGAAAAAAAATTAAAAATAAGAATTAAAAAACTTAAATCAAGCCTTCAACTGGCAATGTGTTGTCTCTATTTTGAGGAGCGACTCCTAAATAATTGTCAGGCTGTGGTTGAGGGAAATCTTTCCCTTGGACACGCGGCTTTGCATGCGCTAACAGAATGAAAAAGAACAAATAAGAAAATAATTTTAAAAGTATGAAAATGATAGCATACCCGATTGAAGACATCCCGCATGAGGCGATTGCCGCGACGGCGTCGCTCTTCGCGCTCACGATTCTGTGCGGCCACCACTTCGGGCAGTCGCTGGCATCGTTTGCTGGTCATGGCCTTCATCTCCTTCGTGGTGAAAACTCTGACACAAGCTGCGGGGTAAAGGATTGAAGGATTGAACTGATGGTTGTGATCTGTGTGGTGCTTACATGTGACTGGCGGTGGCAGTCGTTGCAGCCGCCTGTCCAGTGTCTCCAAGCTGACATCCTCCCCGAGCAGCTCCTCCAGTTCGCGCCGCCTCTCGCTGCGTAGCATCTGCATTTCATTGAGTATGGCCTTGCGCTGCTTCGACTTGGCACAGAACTTGGGACGGGCGAGCTGTAGGTGATCCTGCAGCGACATTGTTTGCAGCATTTCACTATCCCCGAACTGAATCATATACGCAATGCCATGCGTCCCCCTGCGCTGTGTCTGCATCAGCCTTTGCTTCTGGTTTTGGTTCTGGTTCTGGTCCCTGCGGTGCCTCTGGCCGGTACTATCTGCCATAGCATCGTCATACTGATGCGTGGTGGTTGTCGTGGTCGTTTTGGAGGTGTTTACGACTCCTTCACCCATCGGTATGGACATCTCCGAGCTGAGGCACAGCATTGAAGAGATCGAACTGCTGGTGGTTGTCGCTGTGGTAGTGGTACCACCTCCTCCTCCTGCTGCTGCTGCTGGTGCCACCTGCACATATTCGGCAATGGCATTGTTGTGCAAAAGGCTGTACCCTTGGGGCACTGCCGTGTAGTAGACACCAGCGTCTCCTCCTGCGCCTGCTTCTGCTGCTGCCAGCGAATGTTGCATTTGAATGTAATGCTGCGGTGCCTGAAAATGAAAGAGACAGCAAGACAGAGAGCATGTGAAAGGGAAGGCAAGAGAAATTTCACTAGAGGATTACCGTATGCTGCTGCTGGTGCACACACGGCCCATGTCCATGGACCGCTGGATGGTAGTGCCGATGCTCCTGATGCTGTGGATGATGATGCTGTGGATGATGATGCTGTGGATGATGATGCTCCTGGTGCTGGGGACAATGTAGAAGATGCATCTGTGGCCGAGGATGCTGCTCCCGTTGCTGCCGCTTCTGATAGATCCTCTGTTGCTGCTGCATCTCCTGTTGCTGTTGCAGCTGCTGGTGCTGTTGCAGTTGTTGGAGCTGCTGCTGCTGTTGGTTCTGATAGTGCTCCATAAACTGCCGCTGTCGCTGCTGCACAAAGGAGCACACACTTTCGCTGCGGCCGCCATCGCTGGAGCTATTGGGTGTGGCCATTTTCCCTCGCTGTGGAATGCTCCTGGGGAGTGCTGGCGGCGGTGGTGGTGGTATCGGTGGGGTTACCTGTAATTCCGGTGTTGCTGGCGGTGGTGCTGGTGGCTCCACATCATGCGGGCATTCAGAGTGTGTCTTTGTTAGAGATCTACCCTCAGCTGGGGGCTGCTCTTCGCATTGTATAGGCTCCTTTTGTCCTCTCTGAGGATGTAGATTCCCAATCAAGCGTGGCCGCTCCTCTTGCGCACCTCTAAGCATGCGTGCTCGAACAGCCACTGTTCGACGTTGTGGCGCTTTCGCAACCGGAATCGAGGCATCCGGCAGCACCTCAATCAGCGGCTCCGCACCGATCAGGGGGTTGTACTCGATGGCAGCCGTGGGATTCGTTGGACTTTTGTGATCGACTGGGCCTACCAGGCTAGTCATAATCTTATGCGCCGTCTGCAGGCGCTTGATCTCCAACTCAATCCAACTGATCGTAGGACACCCTTCCGTATTGTTGCTGGACGAACGCGAACGCTCCTCGTACTCGATCTCGCTTTGCGTCATCGGATTAAGCCACTCCTGGCTTACAAGCTCCATTTCCGCAGGAGCGGGTTCTGGTGCGGCAGCGAGATCTAGTGCGGGAGCGAGTTCTGGTGCGGCGGCGAGTTCTGGTGCGGCAGCGAGTTCTGGTGCGGCAGCGAGTTCTGGTGCGGGAGCAGCATCATTGCTGTGAGAAGATGTGGCTTCCACTTCATTGGAGATGCTGGCCTCCGAAGAGGGACTCTGCTGCTCTTGTTCCGTGGGTTGAATGCTTGATTTGCTGGTCCGTGGATTGCTCCGTGCGGTGACCATCTCCTTGGAGCTGCTGGTTGCAGAGGAGCCCGATGCGTTGGCTACCAAAACGAGTGTCCTTGGTGCCGGAACAGGACGGGGCTTACTGGCGGTAGTGTTGGTGGCCATGTCCTGACATTGGGCAGCAGCTGCTGGGGCATCAAAGATCGGTTTATAAACGAATCAGTATCCCCAGAGTATCCCCAACGAATGGCTTACCTTTTCCCTTTTTTGGACTCTGGCGGAAGCGCAGGGTCTCGCCCAATTCTATGCAGGATATGCGTTTCGCAATATCTCTTATCAAATGCTTCTTCTGGATGTGACTGAGACTGCGGGCCTGCACCAGCGAACAGAGGAGATCCACGCCCAAGTCCAGCTCTCCCTTGGGCCCACTGCCAGGTCCGGCTTCAGATTCAGCTTCTGTTCCAGCAGCAGTAATTGACGAAGAAGAGGAGTCGCTGGCTCTCTGGGTAGCTGGCTGACAGTTCTCCTTGTTTTCCTTCGCCTGCCGTCGACTGGCGGCATCTGCCATGACCTTCTCCAGCTGGGCGGCCGTATACTGACGCTCCTCCTCCTTGGCCAGCTGCTTCTGGGAACGACCCTGCCCCAAAGGCAACGATGACTGATAATCGAAGCTGCTGGCCACCGAACTGCCGCCATTTGGCGATGTGCATCGGGACTGCGACTTGGATTCCCGCCTGGAGCTGCTGCGATTGCTTTGATTGCTGCTGCTGCGTATGCTCCCTAGACTGGGCGTGGTCTTGCGTTCGCTGCGATTCACAAACGTACTGGAGGCAAGCGGCGGGCGCTGTGCCAGCGGTAGGGGTGTCGTTCCCTGCTCCAGCTGCAGGCGATCCAAATCGGTCTCCGAACGCTGCTGCGGCTGGCGCCAGCACTCCTCCAGGATGGAACGCTCCAGGGTGCTTAGGTTGCTGGTGGACACCGCCCGCTTGTAGTAGCCCACATCGGCGGCTGGATCCCATTCGAGGCGTTTGTGGGACTTCACGGCCGACTCGGGCGTTTGGGTATTTTTCGTCTTTTTCTGGGGCGTTCTGTCTGGCGCCTGGGTGGCCGCTGCCTTGGTGGGTGTTCGCAGATCCTCCACGGACACGGATTGACTGGTGCGGATCCTTTCGCAGCCCACAATGCAGTCAGTGGCTACAATTGGTATAACTTTGATGATCTCTCCCTCGCTTTGTGTTTCCTTTGGGACAGACGCAACTGTAGCGTCAGTGGAAGTGGCAGCTGTGCTTGGCTGCTGTCCTGCTGCTGCTGCAGATGTCTTTTTTCCTCCATTCCTGCCACTGCAGCGGGCAGGCTTTGATGGCGCTGCCGCTGATCGGGGAGTGCAGTACAATTGACCCGAATGCATGCTCACATTGCTGCGACTGGTCCCGCTGCTATTGGTCGATGATAAGGCCATGAAACGCTCAAGCTCCCGATCGACGGCCAGTTCGGACAAGTATTTCCTGGCTTTTGGAGGGACGCGCGACGCCAGAAGACGCCTCTCGTCTGTGTGCTTGCGATGGTGTGTGGTGCCTCGGTGGTGGCCAGACATATTTCCCCGTCTAACGTCTGTTTGCAGCAATATACGCTAATATCCGAATGTCACAATAGCAGTTGGACTTTTGTACCAAAATCTTAATTTCATTTTTTGAAATGCGACGGAATTTTGTACATTGTTAGGACAGTGCTGCGAAGTGCTGTTCTCTCCCCAGTGTTGATTAGCAACTAGATCTGGAGAAATATCGATGTTAACATTGATGTTATCGATGCTTGGGTTACACTGCGATGTTTTTAGATTACATTAGATTTACACCAAAAGCATCTTAAAGGCTTATGATAAAATTATTTTAAAGTCTGTTAGACTACCATCATAGTCATTTTAGAATATATGCTCAAAAAATGATATTTTTACCACTATTGTAGGGGCTCTGATATTGCTATTTTCAAAATAAAACGACAAGTTTGTTCACGATAATATCGATTTTGTTTTGCAGCTACCCTGTGCATCGATAGGAAAAATCAAAAGTCGCGGGTATGTATATCTAAAGCCGTGAAACAACAGGAAAATTCGACATATTTGGTCCTTGGGTTGACATTTGATTTTTTCTACGGCAGTGTTTAAATAATAATACAACTAACTAAATCGAAATAAATCAGAAGCATGTTGGAAACCAAGAGCATTAGTGCTTTGGCATTTACTGAGACGCCGCGCAAGCGTAAAAGGGAAACAGGCGGCTGCGTGCCCCTTCCCCAGCCACAGCAGCAGCAGCAGCAACCCTTAACCAGTGACGCCAAGGTGCAGCAGGAAGCAGCTGCCGCCGTCACAACGTCATGCTTCACCAACGCTGCCTTCAGTTCGACGCCTAAGAAGCTGATTGGACGCCGTCGTTTGGCCAAAGAAAACAGCAATCCGTTTCCCTCTTTGGAGTTCAAGTCCATAGCGGATTTGGCACAGCAGCAGCATCAGCAGCATCAGCAGCATCAGAAGGAGCAGCAGCAAGCACCCACCAATCCCTTCGAGGTGGTGCGGCATCCCTGCAAGAAAAAGAAACGAGAAATTGCGTGCTTTGAGAATCCTGGCCTGAATCTGGAACTGCCCGAAAAGCCATTCAATCCGTATGAGGTAGGTCGTCCTTCTACATCCTTCCCATATCTCCAATCCACTCACACTTACTCCACCTCCTTTACAGGTGATCCGTTGCGTTGCCACGCCCAACAAGGGCTTCGTCAATGCCGCCCTCAATGTCCGTGGCAGCGATGCGCCCGCCTCGCGCAATCCCTTCGAGATCCATCGCCAGAGCGAAATCTCCGCTTTGGCCAGCAATCCCGCAGGCGTGGCCAATGCCGCCTTGGCCGAGGACCCGCTGCCCACTAGCCTGAAGATCGGTCTGCCGTTTGTGCCCAATGTGGGCTGTCGCATCGACTTTCATGGCATGTCCCTGGCCCAATTAACGCCCAGCAAGCTGCTCGCGGAGAAGCTTGTATTTTCGCCAGTGCCGGGGCCAAAGCGTTCGCTGGGCGCCATTAGCGAGGAGTCATCCACCATGGATATTGGCAAGGAGCTGGATCGCTACCAATTGGAGCTGGAGAACAGCATCAACGAGGCAAAGCTGCGCAAGAAGGGTCTCCTGGTGGAGTCGGAGGAGACGCAGGAGACCTTGACGCAGTTGGTGCAGGAGCGCCAGGAGGGAGTCGAAGTGGAGCGCCATCTTATATGCACCAGAAGGCGCACTCTGACGGAGATTAGCGAACTGCCAGAGATGGAATCCTCACCAATGGGAGAGCAACTAGAGGACAAGAAAGAGGAGCAGCTTCAGGAGGAACAAGAAGAGGAGCAGGAGCTGCAGCAGCAGGAGGAGAAGGAAAAGGACCCCGAGCCAGATGCAGTTGAAGGCGATGTAGCCTATGCCTCAGAATCAGACGAGGAGGACTTCAAGGCCCCTGCCCGATTTGTGCGCGCCTATCGCCCGGCAGCGCAGCTTAAGGCCGCCAGCAAGGAGTCCCTCCAGTCGATTGGCTCCAGCAAATCCGGTAAATCCCTGGACAAACCACCATCCAGCCATGGAATGAAGAATATGATACGCAAATCGATACGCCGCCTCATGCATCCCATGGAGAGTAGCAGCGCTACGAGCACGAGCACTTCCCCGGAGAAGCCGCACAACAACATCATGCACACTATTCGTCACAGCCTGCGACGGCGGCCACAGAAGGAGCCGCTGCAGGAGGAGCTACATCCAGCGGATATCTCCATTGTGGACAGCAGCGAGCGGACAATGAAGCTCAGGTCGAGCATACCACAAACGGAGTACATGACCATCGAGCAGCTGACGAACGAAAAAAAACACACGCTGCGGAATAGCATTCGTCGATCGACACGGGATGTGCTGCGGCATGTGTTCCACAAGAGTCACGATGCCTATGCCACGGCCAAGTGAGGAGGAGATCAACATCAACCCAACCAATCACCCAATCAATTTCATTTATTAGCCCTTAAGACCATTGAATTTCTAATTGCACCCAAAGAACGTCATACAAAAAATGCACCCATTTCAAAAGAAAAATCCATCCAGGATGGATACCAAAGATAAAAGAGGATCGGATCTGTAGTTCTTGGCTGGAGTTTTCTACGCTTCGGCTTCTGTTCGAAGATTTCGAGTTTAAGAGGTTTTTTTTTTGAGGGAAATGTTTTGGTTATGCAGCAGCGCCCCTCGTTCGGTTTTTGCCCCCACACATTTATGCACTCTTCATGCTTCATGTTTCTCTTTGAATGTACTTTTAAGGTTTTATTGCACGTTTATTTATATATGTTTACTATATTGTATTTGTATTTGTATTTTTATGAAACTTTTATATATGTATAACATTTGTTTTTTTACATAAACCTCATGCTATTTGCAAACTGTGATTGTTCTAACATACTCTATCGAAAAATGGACAAAAAAAAAAAGAATGGGCATACGAATTTCCTGGCATGCGGCAGTGCCTCTCGGTTGTTGGATGGAGAATCTTCTGCAACATTCTTCTGAATACTATTTAGGGATTTAATTTCGAAATCTCCAAAGCACACACACATACGGTTTCCCTTACTCCCTCTGATGAGGAGATTTCTACGAAAGGTCCCTATGTTTATCCATTTGCAAAATAGTAAGCCTTTGAAATAGAACCACATTCATCTGGGAATACTTTCGTCTGAGCTTTTGCCAGCTACTAAACTACTACATTATATTCTTATATTTAGGGAAACATTACTATAAACTTAGTGAAGGTTATTATCAAGAGAAGAACAACCTAAATGATACCTACAAGAGATAGTATCTGTTGGTAGAGATCGGGCAGGGTCTGGAGTTTTAGCATGCTTTAAGGTTCGAAAGTAAGAAGGAATGTAAATGGGGAGGAGATTGTATGTACAGAGTACCTATCGGAAAGGGGGCTTGAAGGAAGTAAGGAAAAACTACATCCAAGAGAAACATAACTTTTCCAAGACCTTCAATTAGTGAATACTCTGCGGATGGGATCCTTCTACGAATCTAAAGATATTTACGATCATTGAGAGGCTACGGTCATTTTAAAAGTATATTCCATATTTCGGGGGATTCGGTGTTTCCTTGATTTACTTATAGACGGTTTGGAGGAGTGGACGACGACGCTGTTCCAGCGGCTTGAAGGCATGCTGGTAGACGCTGGCCAGGCGCCAATGCTCCGGATAGCCACCCTGGCCGGCGCCACCGCCCTGACTGCGGAACGGCGGCACCAGTGTGTCGATGTCGTAGTTTTTCTTGGCGTACGGTTGCCGGGGTCGTGGCACCACCAGCACCCGCCCGCCCCCAGAGCAGCCCGTGTCCATGCCCATGAAATCGCCGGAGGCATTGTGCTTGGCCACGCCCGCCCGGAAGGCGGCCTTGCTGGTGAGACAGTGACCATGTCCATGACCATGCCCATGCCCAAAGGCGGGCGGACAGCAGCGCGGGGCCGGGGCAGGGCCAACCTTGTGGCAGAGTCGACGGGCGGGGCGTCGGAGGACCGTGTCCCGCTTGCAGGAGGGTCCGGCCGGGCGGCAGCCATGCTCCATGTGCACGCCGCCCGGGCCATTGCCCTCGCAGCTGGACTCGGGGCCCAGATACTTCTCGCGCAGCGCCTGGTACGCCTTATCGCCCAGCAGGGGCGACGACTGGTACTGCTTGGCCAGGCGATTGGGGGGCATGCCCCCACGGGTGCCTCCTCCGCCGCCGCCACTGCCGCTGGAGAGTTCCGCCAGGTTGCAGAAACTGACGCCGGCACCGGGGCCGCGGCGACAGTGGGAGGCGGCACTTGAGTCCCGGGAGACGCTGCGTGCCCGATCCCTCGGGGGAGGGGAGTAGTCGCAAGCGCAGGGATCCTCGCGATCGATAGCCCTGCCACCAAAGTCCGTCTTTCGACGCAGTATATCCTTGTCGAAAAAGTCAGCCTCGCCCAAAGTGTTGGTGAAGACTCCGGCGGAGCGCCCTAGATCGGCGGCATTGTCCTCCCGTGGCGTCCGCACGCAGGTAAAGACCGCCGGGCCCGCCGAGTCGCTGGAGCCATCGATGTGCCGGGCCAGACGCGGCTCGTCCGTGGCATTGGCCGGCTTGAAGTCCCAGCAGATGGCCAGATCCATGGGTCCCATTTTCTTGGCCGGAGCCGAGCCCACGCCACGGAATGTGTCACCGCCAAAGGCCTTGGGCACCACACCACCGCCCGTTTTCGGGCGGAACACCTTCATCTTGGTGCAGTGCGTCGGACCGGCATTGTGCGTCTTAACGCCCACGCCCGTGGCAATGGGATCGATCTCCAGCGAGAGTCCGGCATGTCCGCCCGAGATCTGAGCCTTGCGGAACGCCAGATCCGCCACACAGTCAGGCAGTGGCTGGTGGTCGAGGTTGTCCTGGTGCATGCGCTTCGCCAGCTCGAAGTTCGCATAGGCCGGCACCACCGGCGATGGGCAGCGCTCGTTGGGCTTCTCGGTGATCGAGTGTAGCGGCATCTTTCTGATCAGGTCCGGATCGGTATCGTATGTATGCCTCTGGGTCTGGGCCACTGGCAATGAGATCAGATCCTTTCCCGGCACGAAATCAGTTTCGAATCCCGTGTCAAATCCTCCGTTCAGGTCGCTGCTCCGTTCGAGATTGTCCGTGTAGCGGGACTGTGCCGCTGCCAGCGCAGGAAACTGTCGCCCCGTTGCGGAGGTCACCCGATCCCGGTACTTGATCGGTTGCGTCTCCTCCCTGTCCAGATAGAGACGACTCAGTGGCTCATTGTTGTCCCTTGCGAAGGAGGCCCGCTTCTGGTCGAGCAGCAGCTGGTGCGAGGGCAGACGGTACTCCGGCTCGGTTAGATCTCCGGGCGTATAGGACAGATCCGGCAATCCGGCTGCTTGCGACATGGTTGGGGTGGGTTGGGGTTGATTGGGGTTTCAGGTTCACTTTTTGTGTATTCAAACGAGATGAAGAGATGAAGATGGAGATGCAGATGCAGATGCAGATGAGATATATACAATGGTTATGATTGGATGATAAGCATGGATACAAGTGCGGGGAAAGGTGGATTAGATTGGGGATACCTGGTAAGCTTCTCTTTTGGCATACAAAATTCACTTAGCTGTCTTTAAGATGAGGCTAAGATGCTTTACTGAATATGGTACGGCATATATCTGTCTTGTAAACGGGGACAATGGAAGAGCCAACGAAGTCTAACGAAGAGAATTAGAGTGTAATTTTAAGGTTTAAGTTTCCTAGAAACATTAGAGCTTTACACGATATGGGGTTCCATTTTAGATCGATTTTTATGAAGATAATGCGAAAATGCAGCCAAAAGAATGGTGGGTTAAGTATTTAGCGAGTATAGCAAATGCTAGAGGAGAAGCCAGAAGGAGGATCCCATAAGGAAGGAGTATGGAAATGCAGGATGAGTCTTCAAATGAGAAGCAGTGTGCAGATGAGGATGGTGATGCGTAAGGAGTATGCATATGAGGATGATCTCGCAGATCCTTCAGCAAAAGAGTAGTGCATGTGCTTCAATAGATGCCTGGATTTATTGGTTATTGAAAGTACATATTGTGCCTGGAATTGATGACTCAGAATGAGTGGAATTTGCCTGGTTTATGGATCTGCGTCTTTTTCTTCTGTATCTGCTTCTGGGTTTCGGTCTCTGCTCCCCCTTTGGGCACCTATCGGGACTCATGATTCACGGCGAAAGCAGTGATGGGCCGCTTGCGGTGTCTTTCCACCTTGACGCAGGTTATTCGAGACTTGCCCGGCATGGTAATCGTTCTGCAGCTCTAAAGTGCAGAGGTGCAGGATGCAGGATGGAGGATGCACTTGTCGTGGCAGGATGGAGATATGTATAGAGCGTAAAGACTCACCTTGACTTCACAACTGGCCCGCTTGCAGCTGACACTCCGCTGATGGAGATCCTTGATCTTCTGGATGCCCTCGCACTTGGGCATGCACTTAGGTCGCGCCCAATACGGATCCCCGACAACGCCCAGTGTCATCCGTTTGTCGCAGGCCAAGGCCCGGCGGTTCTGCAGCTGGCAGTTGCACAGATCTCGCGGAAAGTCACGGAACTTGTAGCGTCCGCTCAGACAGGCATCGTAGTGGCAGCAAAAGCTGCGGGTGATCTTCAGCGGTAGCTCGTATGTCCCACGGAAGCGTCCAAAGGAGTTTCCGTCCCTGTGGAGGAAAGTATGTGTGTCATGAGGCATAGGGTGTCCTCTGTATCCGTTCGACTCACCTACGGGCCGTGGGCAGCAGGTGACCGTTATTGGCTACTATGGGCGTGGCTTTCTTCAATAGTAACCTAGGTCGTGGCGGTGCAAAGCGTGGATACTCCCAATTGCAGAGTCCTGGCGCCTGGAAGCGGTCCTCGAACTGTATGGGAGAGGAAGGACGAGGACGAGGACTCGATCAACACCTGTTACGAAAACCCTCCACCCTCCACCCTCCACCGTCTATCGTCGGATGCAAGTAATTCCCTTATTTATGGGCGCTGCGCAAGCAAACCAATTGATACTTACATACATATACAAAATAATAATAATAAAAAACACAAGCCAACCCCCATGGAGGGAGAACAACCCCCCCTGGCGGAATGGTCGGAATGGGCGGGCAATTACACGGCGTAATCTCTGTTGCTGGAACATGTGTAAAAAGGCATTTGGTCTAATTCCACTTAATGCCAATGTTTGTGTTTGCCTTTTGAAAGTCAGGCAGACAGGCAGCCAGGCAGCCAGGCAGGAGCCGGAGCCGGAGCCGAGTCCAGAGGTCTGCTCTGGTGGGGGGCGGAGGGAGGTTTAAAAAACGGACAGACTTCAAACTGATCCTTAAATGAGCCTGCCTCAGACCTGGTCTTAAGCTTGAGGAATCATTTATCAGAAGTTTTTAAGCAGATGCCAGCAGCTGGTTGAAAAGCCGGAAAACAGGCAGGAACTCAATCGACAGGAACCTGTTTGGGCGAAGGAAAAGGCGGGGCTTTTGAATCTAGAAATGGATATGAGATGTGGTATGGTATGGGATGGTATGGGAGATCCTCCAGCCGAGTCCTCCCAAGAATTAGGAAAAGAAAATGACTTTGGGATAAGATTCTACGGCAGCTTGATAGAGCAGAAGCTCCACTGGAAACCCTCTGAGAATTGGGATGGGAACTGGTACTGTTAGTAGAAATGGATATACATAGCATGAAATGAAGTATCACTACTCCATTTACAGATGATTTCTGGTCTAAGACACCATCGTGCTACCTCGAACTGCCGCTGCCAAATGGGAACTGGAATCATAAAGAGCTGCTGTCCGAAGTCTGGTCTTCCCACGCTTCCGGATTTCAATTAACAAATGCAAATGCCGTAACCGCCAGTAATACGATACCAGGGCCCTGCAACTTGTCAACACTTGACTAAGACCTTGATTGATGCGATTGTGGGTGGGGTTTGGCGGGGTGTCGGGCGGGGCACGCGTCTTGGACGTGTCCACGTGTGCCACAATGCGGCAACTGTAATTAAATTTGTACGGCAATTACACAAGAATGCGACGAGGGGCCACAAAGAGGCCAAGGGATGTGCCCAGAGAGAGGCCATGAAGAGTGTTGGTGTGGGTGTGAGGAATCCCCTGGATGGTTACCATGGATGGCCCCGATGAATGGAATGGAATGGAATGGATGCACTTGCCAAGCGTGAAATACAAATTGATTTTAAACTCAATTAGTAACAAAAGTTTTGTAGGCGTTTAAACGACACCAACTACAATGAGGATTACAGGACACCCAGACAGATGAAAGAATGAGGCATCGATGGTATGGATGGGATGGCATGGGTTCGGATTGGGCCTGGAGAAGGGCAGGCAAATAGATAGTTGAATGGATGCCTGGGTTATCCACCCCATACCATCTATATCCTTCACACTGCACTGTACTGTTCTGTTCCTCTGGCGTTCCTCTTGTGTTGTATTCTGTTCTGTCTGTGCGCGTCACCCCTTGGTGATGATTTTTATGGCAACCCTCTGGGGTGCAATTTATCACATGGTCTTTTGTGTCAGAGCCAGAGAGAGGATTAGATAGTCAGAAAGCTACCAGAGCACACGTGCACTCGTCCACGGGATGGATATGCAGGCGGGCGGGCGGGCGGTTGGTCGGTCAGCACTTGTAACACTCCACTCACTTGTGTACACGCCTCCACCTCCCACCGTACTCCCGTACTCCTTCCTGTGGCAGGACAAACACTTAAGCTAATTTCACGCTATGCTGCTACCGATTGCCGTTGGATTGCTGCTGGACCAGGTCCAGTCCACGGGTCCAATCAATTGCCGCCCTCAGTTGCTTTGAGCCTCAAACAGCTGTCAATTTGTGCGCCTTTTTGCAATTGAAATGTCATTAAGCGTGTCCGAGGGAGCTGCAAGATTTCTCTGGAGTTGCCTGGACCTCTGGATCCACCAGAAAAAAATACACCAAGGAAGAGCGAAAATTCCTTCACCTTTTCGCGCTTAACCGTTACGATAGTATGTACATACGAGTATATCAAAATAACTGTAAATAACTGCAGTTGCGTGGCAATACTGACTGACATAAGGCGCCCCAGGGGCAGGGGGCGACGCTCCGAGCCTGGATCCAAAAACAAACCAACAACAACAACAACAAAAACAACGGATTGGTAACCAATCCCGTTACCAAGTAAATAAACTTTAACTGTCGCTATTTGCAACTTTGGGAAAACATCGGAATTGGGATCTGGAACGGCATCGGGAACGAGAACGAGCACGGTAGCGGGCATGGGAACGGGGACGGGGACGGGAACGAAGAGAATAACAATGGATATGGAAATGGCAACGGTAAATAGTTACGGGATGCGTACCGTCACTCAAGTATAAAAAGCCCGCAGAGACAGTCGACAAAATGTGGCGAAAAGGGGAACCCAAGGAAGGATTCGCATGAAAAGGTACTCGTACGAAGGTAAAGATTTCTCAATAAAGATTCCTATGATAAGCATTGATCATTAAAGACCACTCTTTAAAGATTTCTCATTAAAATTCCGATCCCTTTTTTAATGATTTCTAACGAAAATTTCTTCAAACGGCTTTCCTCTCAAAATCTCTATAAACATTCGAACTAATTTCATAAATTGATTTTTTTGAGCAGTAGGGAAAGGAATAGCTTTGGGAATATTTAAGCTTTTAATGGCCCTAGTCTAGAATCTTTATGACTACTGTATACTCATACCATGTCCTTCAAATTTGTCAAATCAATCATGAGATAACGAGTTTGATACTTTTTGACTGAAACCGATTGGATTTTCTTAAGAAACACAATATATGTACATATTAATGTTCGTATTACATATCTAGGGCCCCTGGAACGAATTTTTGAAAATACCTTTCTGATGTCTAAAATAGCTTAATAATCGTGCGATGGGGGGAGAACCCACAGGAATCCAAAGTATTTCTCAAGAACTGTTTTAATATGTACAGTTATATGATTGAAAATTCAACTAAATAATATTTATTGTACATAATATTAATCTATTCGTATAATGTTTTAATACGGTATGTCTATAATATTAAATTTACCAACAAGTAAAATCCCTTCCCGTTTCGTTTGATGAATGAATTTTTAGACCATTCACGAGATAAGAGGTTGATTTTTGACTAATTTGTCGCCTGGCTGGTATTATTAGCTTGCACCTAACCTATTCCTCTCCTCCCACACCGTCTACAAATGGCACTCAAAGAGATGCAGACAGAGAGAGAGAGAAAGACATGGAGTGCGCGGGTGGCAGACTAACGGAATGTCTGCCAAATGGCGACTCGCGCTCTCTTTTGGTCAGTGAGACGCAAAGCGAGACAGAGAGAGAGAGAGAGAGAGGGAGCGTGCCCACGCCATTGATTTTGCTACCTTTGGCTGGCAGAATTATTATTTCGACTATTATTATGGCAACCGGTTGCCACGCCCTCCCGCTGACATGGCACTTGGGCTGTAAATTAGGCCGCTGCCTGGAGAAATGTGACAGTAGTGGACCAGCTCTCGCTAGCTGTCTGTCCCTCTCTCTTTCAGTAACAGCAAGGATAACAGCATCCCCATACAGGGTGCTCAATCTGATGGAGCCCACTCACCTGATTAGCACTGAAATGAAAGGCCATTGTCAGGCCGGAAACGAATTGATTTTGGAATTTTAAAATTGGAATTAAAAAAATACCATCAACATATTGACAATTCTGTGAAGGGTGACCCTGTTTTCCTTTGGCGCCAGCTATGGGGCGTGGCTTCCAAAGGACACGCCTAGAGCGTGGAGTGGGGGAGTGGGGGAGTGTGGAGTGTGGAGTGCTGGCATCAGGTCGCATCTGGCACTTCAACGGAAAACGGCAAAGCAAATGGAAAACTTTGCAACGGCAGCTGTGCCCCAACCAAATGGAATGAGCGCAAATTGGGGCGCGCAAGGAATGAAAGAGCTGTGTGCATACACATGTATCTCATTTTTCGGTATACTATACTATATTTATAACTTTAATGCTTGACTGGGATAAACAAATATCACGACTTAGAAGCTAGTCAAAAAAATTATGTTTTTTTTTGCGATTATTTCTAGAATAAAGATACTCTTGTGGATTATGAATACAGGAGATGGGGTGATATGGGGGGATATGGGGGACTCGATTCGATTCGATTCGATTTGCGTCCTATGGCGGAGCAAAGAACATGGCCTCACTGAAGCTGCAGCTGGTGTTGATGCTAGAGGCGCTACCACTATCTCAGGGGGTCTCCAGGACGTGATTCAAGTACGCAATGTAGCAGATGGCCAACTTGAGGATCTCGATCTTGGAGAGCTTCTTGTCTGGCGGCAGGGTGGGCAGCAGCTTCCTCAGCTCAGCAAAGGACACATTGAAGGCCTCCACGCGGATACGCTCCCGTGTGGCATGTGCCGTGCGGTACTTGAGTGTGGCCCGTCGCCGGCGACGTCGCTCCTCGCGTGACAATCCCACCAGCTCTGTGGGATCGAGGTGGGCAATCGGTGTGGTCCGGCGACGTGGCGCTGGTGTCGGTGGCGGCGGCGGTGCCGGCTGGGCGGCCGTCTCACAGGCCATGCGCGCCTGGAAGCGCTTCTCAATGTCCAGCGTGGTGCTGGCCGCATAGTCCTCGTTCAACAGGCCGGCATTGTTGGCGGGGGCCAACATCTCGTCATCCTCCTGCATATAGTAGCGACTCAGGGAGATGCTCTGCGGCGGTCCCTCTGCCATATGCGTCATGTCGTAGACCATTCTTTGGTGTGTGTGTGGCTCCTGCTGCCAGTTGCTGCAGGAATAAGATGACAAAGACGGAGATCATAAGTATTCGGTGGGTGAAGTGGTCTCCCCCCGGCCCCTACTGCGTAAATCAGAGAGGCTGGTGCTGCCACTTGCATTATTTATGGTTCATTTGTGTACGTTTGTGTCAAAGGGTGCGTGTGCCGTGGCCGTGACCCGAACCGAACCGCACCGCCCTGCCCCGCCCATGTCCTTGTCCTGGGGCGCACACCCCTTTCTGTACATGTCCTGTTTGCTTTTCGAATTATTCTCATTTATTTTTATTGTACTCATTGTATTTATTGTTTATTGTTTATTCGCAACATATTTTCACACCTACACAAATAGCAGAACAATCGGCACGTTTATTTGCCCGCGGGATCGCCCCTGAACCACGAACCCCGAACCCTGAACCCCGAGCTGAAACTGGGTAACGGGGAACCCTTCTGCGGTTAACGTATGATTTGATATTACATATTTATTTAATGGGTTTTTCTGAAAAGTCGCACAACTTTGCGCCAAGTCAGGGGTTTATCCGGTTCGAAAGAGTTCGAAACAGTTATGGAGTTACAGCTGTGTTTTGAGCTGGATTAGATGATCCCAGGATTGATTTTCTAAGCTGATATAACCACAATCGGATATGGTTATTAAAAAAAAAAACATTTTACGTTCGCGATTTGATCGTTAAGCACTTAATAAACTTTAACTTACAATATTTGAAAAGATTTGAATATCCGCACAATTCTTCGGTATATCTACGGTTCAAGTCGATTCCGGAGAAGAGCTTACAAGTTTGGCTGCTCGCTTAAAGCCTGAATGTCGAACTGACGCACGGTGCGGACAGTGCAGCATCCTTTATACCAAAAAAAAATCAGAACATCCCTCGGCAACCAGCAGCCAATAGCAAATATGCACCCCGGGCAGGGAAACGCCAATTGTAGAGTCGCCGTGGATAACAAAATGGCGGTGGTTATGCAAGATACCCGCCCCTTGATGGGAGAAGTAACCCCCGGGATGCTGTTTGGATTGAAACTTTCAAATTTAAGTGCGCGGCAAATTGTGCGCCCAACAGCACTGTGAACTGTATGCACATACAGATTAGAGGTGGAGAACTATCGATGGCACTATCGATAGCGCTCGAAGTTTTTTAGTGAATGCTTTACACAGTGAAAAAAGTGTGTGTAATGGTGCAACAGTGCGCCCTAAGTTTAAAATGCGTTAACAGCATATTTGTGGAACATTTGCAGTCCTCTTCGATTATTACTAGAATTAAAAGAGGTAAAATGGTGTTTTAAACCATTGCTCTGATTGCTAATACAATTAATTTAAAAACAAGTCCAATAACTTCAGCTTATCGCACAAAACTATCGGTTAATTTTTGTTGAAATAATTCAAATTCGTGGATAAATCTGACGTGAAACCACAGAAAAAGGTCTATTTGCTCGAAATTCAGAGAAGGTATTTCCGTTGATGATATATCCCACAAAAATTTGCATACCAATATTTTCAACACACGAAATGTACATATATATCGATATATACTATTTCATAACACCTGAGGTTGCCCCCGCTGTATTTATAATTGAAAACCATTCGACAAAATGAACCTGGGACGACTTCTGAGACCTCTCCAGGTTGGCACAACGCTGGCCCGCAGCTATGGAAAGCACAACAAGAAGTATCTTTACAAGGATGGCAAGAAATACGAGGGTATTATATACTACCCCAGGTAAGCGGCAACCAACAGCAGACCATTATGAGTGAGCCCCATCTGATTGATATTTGATTTGCCGTAGAACTTCTGACCATCAGGATCCGCCTATAGAGCCCGCTAAACTGTTTCGCGTGCAGCGCATCAAGCCGATGAAGGGGAATCCTTTCTGGGAGAAGCGCATCCTCAAAGACCTGGGCTTGGATGGCAAACAAAGCGACTACACGGTAGTCAAGAACATACCCGAGAACAATGCCCGTCTGTGGAAGATCAAGCATTTAATTAAGGTGACACCGGTCACGTTTCCATATGGGGAGCCCACGGCGCAGGATGTCAAGTACACGATACTCAAGGATAATGGTGAGTGCCTGGTCACCAAGGACATTGGCCAAGTGGAAGTGCGCACGGAGGCTCGCGAGGCATTTGACCAACAACCGAAGCGCCTTGACACGGACCTGCTGAGGAAGGATTCTCGACTGAAGTGGCTCAATCCTTGGTGAAAGAGAATACGCCTGTCTGTGGCGTCTTTATTACTTTAGCAAAAATAAAAATATCAAATGGACGTGAATGTACGCTTCGCGCTACAGCTAGTTAATGGCCATGGCCACCTTCTTGTCGAGCGTCTTACAGCCGGAGCTGACAAACAGGGCATGAATGCGATCATAGGTCATTGAGGATAGGATATCGTTGATGATATTCCTATCGGGCGTCTTTTTCCACCGCTGGAACTCCGCCTCCAGGCACTTTAAAACGTGCGCCTTCTCGAGCGGCAGGAATGGTATGTAATGATCGATTACATATGACTCAATCAGGCTGGTTTTCTTCAGGCCTCCGTCCATGCTGTAGGCAACTTTCTGTAGCAGCGGCTCATAGTCGCTCAGACGTGTGTCTTCGCGCAGTTTTCCCCCCTTCATGCTGTTGCCCAAATGTTCGGAAATATGGGTGCCACCGTTGTTTGACAGAAATATGAATATGGCTTGTGTGTTGTCGATTTCATCGTCGAGGCCATTGTAGTCCAAAAGCGCTTTGAGCGTGTCGAACACGCCACTAGGCATTTTTTCGACTTCGTCGAATATGAACAGGGAGCGGGGACAGTTGGTCAAACGTTTGTGTACTTCTCGGTCAATGTGTTCCTTGTAGGTGGCCACATGCGCTGCTTGTGCGAAGTTCGCTCGTCCCAGGAACTTTGCCACATATGCGCTTTTCGATCCCTGCAAGTAAAGAGCTTGGGCTATCTGATCGGCCACAAAGCTCTTACCAGTGCCCGGCCCGCCATGAAAGCTAAGCACCAGTGGCTTTCGCGACTTGACCTGGGAGCTGAAGTGTGCAGACAGTGCTGATATAATGTGCGGGACCGCAATATGCTGGCCGTACACTTTTTTTTGCAGCGACTTCTCCAGCGCTGCAATAGTAAGCTGAGAGTTTGGTAACAAGTAAGAAATATATTTCAGTCAAGTTTACCTTGTACATTGGCCGGAATGCTTCGGACGTCGCAGCATTCATACAACCTACAATAGGTCTGGCCCTTGAAATATGAGATGCCGACGGAGGCAGCCCCTATGGCGGCACCAATTGTCATGGGCTCCATGCTGTGGGAGCACCGTACCCAAAATATCAAGACACCAAAGCAAAATTGCAGAAAAGAAACCACATATTTACGATTCATGTTGAAAAATGAGCCTCTGGAGCCGGGTGACTGTTTACGGCATTTTTTATACTTTTCGGTATTTTTGGGGGTCCAAAATGAGCCGACGGTATATTTTGAAAATGAGGCGGTATGTTTCGGTATATTTCTGAGGATCGGACGGTATATTTTGTCGATAAGTCCGCGGTCACACTGGAAACGCCGCAAGAAAAATTGGAAAATTAGTGCGTTAATTTAATATTTTTAATAAATAACAAACCATACCAGACGACTCGCATCCCCAAGGTGCACGCAGTAAGTAACAAAAAACAGTCAACAGCGCAGCAGCAGGAGCAGCCGAACCCGTACTCGAAAGTGTTGTCGCGTGTGCCGGTGGCAAAGAGATACAAGAAGAGCCAGCTTTAGTGTTTAGCGTTGTGGCAATATGAGTCGTCGTCGTGCACACGATACGGAGGACGAGGGCTATGGTGAGTACAGCGCAGATTCCACTCGCGTTTCACTGGTCCAACTGAACTGGGGATGTGTGGCATTCATTCACTTGCAGACCATAGGCGAAACAAACGGAGGCGGGTGTCTGAGAACCAGGAGATCGAGGACCGCCTCGAGTCGCTGATATTGCGCGTGGGCGAGCGCAGCACATCCTCGGTGGAGTCGAATCTCGAGGGTCTGGTCTCTGTGTTAGAGGCCGATTTGGGCACATTCCGTTTGAAGATCTTGCGCATCCTCTCCGACTGTGCCGTCCGTATGCCCGAAAAGTGTACCGTCTACACGACACTGGTGGGTCTGCTGAATGCCAAGAACTACAAGTTCGGCGGCGAGTTCGTCGACCACATGGTCAAGACGTTCAAGGAGTCGCTCAAGATGTGTCGCTGGGATGCGGCCAGATATTCGCTGCGATTCCTCGCGGATCTGGTCAATTGTCATGTGATATCGGCCACCAGTCTGCTGCAGCTGCTCGACACCATGATCGATGTGTCCAACGAGGACACAGTGCCTCAGGTGCGTCGCGACTGGTTCGTTTTCGCCGTCCTCTCCACCCTGCCCTGGGTGGGGCGGGACCTCTACGAGAAAAAGGAGTCGGCACTCGAGTCGCTGCTGCTGCGCATCGAGGTGTATCTGAACAAGCGCTCAAAGAAGCACCACAACGCCTTGCGGGTCTGGTCGTCGGACGCCCCGCATCCGCAGGAGGAGTACCTCGACTGCCTGTGGGCCCAGATACGCAAACTGCGGCAGGACAACTGGGCCGAGAAGCACATACCGCGGCCGTACCTTACCTTCGACACGATATTGTGCGAGGCGCTGCAGCACAATCTGCCGCAGATCATACCGCCGCCCCACAACGATGCCTTCGTCTATCCGATGCCCTGGGTCGTCTATCGCATGTTCGACTACACCGACTGCCCGGACGGTCCGAATCTCCCCGGCGCCCATTCAATCGAACGCTTCCTGATCGAAGAGCATCTTCATCACATCATCGAGACGTACCATCACGAGCGCAAGGACTGTGCCGCCCAGCTGCTCAGCTTCCCTTTCAAGCACAAGATCCCGCTCGAGTACTGCATTGTGGAGGTGATCTTTGCGGAGCTGTTCCACATGCCAACACCCCGCTATCTGGACATCTGCTATGGCTCCATACTGATCGAATTGTGTAAACTGCAGCCGGCCACTCTGCCCCAGGTGCTGGCCCAGGCCACCGAGATCCTATTCATGCGCATCGATTCGATGAACACCTCGTGTTTCGACCGTTTTGTGAACTGGTTCTCGTACCATTTGAGCAACTTTAAGTTCACATGGTCGTGGGATGAATGGGACAGTTGCCTGCTGCTCGATGGCGAGCATCCGAGGCCCAAGTTCATACAGGAGGTGCTCCAGAAGTGCCTGCGGTAAGCAGACGAAACCCCCATCTCCTTTTATGGCCACATATCTAATGTTTCCCCTTCCTGTAGGCTGTCGTACCATCAGCGCATCACCGAAATGATGCCCACCACATATGGAAAGCTCATACCTCAAGTGCCTGTCCCCAATTTCAAGTACGCCAGCGAGGAGGCAGGTGAGTCTCTTCGTCCAACTATCCCTTTAAATGTACAAATGTATCTTTATTTTGGGATAAACTTAACTAAAAGACACTTCATTCTCATCGTCGTCCACGATAAAGGGTATCTCCTCGCCATTATCCCCCACCTTGATGCTAACCGATCTGCTTACTGATTTCTGGGTGAGAACTTCAACCACATCGCTGCGTTGTGGCAGCAGCGGTGGCGGTAACGGTGTAGTCTTCACTGGAGTTGCAGCTGGAGCTGGAGCTGGATCTAGAGCTAAAGCTAAAGCTTCAGCAGTCTTTGAGGATAAGGCTGTTGCTGGTGTCGCTGTTGTGGTTGAAGTGGTACTAGTGCTCGTGCTGGTAGAGACATAGGCTTCATGGCGATAGCTGCTCTTGGCCTTGCTATCCTGCTGCTCCTTGCGGCGTCTGGCCCACTTGCTCAACGCTGGCTCTGCTGTGGTGGAGGTTGTAGTTGTCGTAGATCGTCCAGCAGTTATGCGCGGCGTTGTCCGATAGCGACTTAAATTCCTCAAAGGACTAAAGTGTGTGGAGGTGGAGACAAAGCTGCTGGAGCTGCTCACAGTGGGAGCGGGCGTTGAGAATGTAGCTACTGTTGTCGTTATTGTTGTTGTTGGTGGAGGAGGAGGAGGACTACTACTGGTCGTAGTTGTCGTCGTCGTAGCTGGGGGCTCTTCTGTTGTGGGGGAGCTAGTGGCCAATTCGGACTGTTCCAAGCTGCTGGCTCGATTTTGCTCTTCCTCCTGCTCTCCTTGTTTCTCCTCCTGTTGCTCCTGCTCTGGCTCCTTGTTCCTGCTCATGTCCCTGTCTCGCTCTATTTCCAGATGTTGCTCGTCCAGATGCAGCACATCAATGGGATTCTGATGGACATACAGTGGATCTGGCTCGGAGTAGCGATACACTGTCTCCTCCAGCGGTTCGCTTTGCACAAACGACTTGTCTTCTTCTTCATTGCCCTCTGACATGCTGGCATAGATGATCAGCGGCGGCACCTTTGCCGTTTGGTATTTTGAGGCCTGGCCAAAGATCTGAGGACTTCGGACGAGCAACTCCTGTTCGGGATCCTCGTTCGATTCGTAGGACTCGTGGGAGCCGGAACTGGAGCTGGGAAAGAGCACAGGCTGCCGCTGCTGCTGCTGCTGCTGCTGCTGTTGCCGCTCGTATGCATAGAATCCTGACTCTGCTCGAGGCGGACTCTGTGTGGCGGCATGCGGGCGATAGTTTACCTCTGGATCGCCGCCTAAACCGCCGCCTGAACCTCCGCCCGACGCCACATAGAAATGATGATGGAAATGATGTGTGACCCCACCAACAGCAGCTGCAGTAGTAACAGCAGTAGCAGGAGCACCACTTGGTGGTGCCCCCTTCTCTGGTTGCACCTCTGAATATCGCACTGGTGGGGTGTCCAGTCCAAGGTGGTCCGCTGACGGACCCAGCCTCACCACCGGGTAATTCGGACGGAATGTGGTTGGAGCAATGAAATTCGAACGCAGCCCCAGATTGTAGAGTCCACCCCCTGGGAGGGCCATCGGATGAGGAGGAGGAGGAGGAGGCGGAGGATGTGCTGCTCCTCCCTTGAGATACTCACCAATGTTGAGCTTCGGCGGCAGTGGCGGTGGCGGTGGCTGGAAGATACCATGGATAAAGGTGGCCTGCGACTGCGTCTGCTCCCGCTCCCGCTCCCGCTCTCGCTCTCTCTCCCGCTCGCGATCCTGTCGCCGCTGGGCAGCAAATCCTCCGCCGAGAGCGTCATGAGCGTGAGGGAGCCGTGGAAAGCTCCCCGGATAGTCGGACTCCTTCTGGATGTAGCTCATCTGGTATGCTGGCGCTGCTGTCCGAGGAGGCGTCAGCGGCGTAACGCTGAACCTTATCTCGTAGTGGTAGTGGCGTCCCTTGTCGCCATCCCGATGGCGGATGCGCTGCACCTGCCACAGGGCACGCCGCTGGCCAGAGCCAGCAGCAGCACCGCTGGTGGTTGTGCCCTCGACAAAGCGATAGCTACCGTTGCTGGGCAGCTGCTCCAGCCATCCCGTGGCCAGGGTGATGATATCCCCAAAACGGGACGGAGCCGGCGCCGCACCACCCGTTGACGACTGTGCCAGTGGATCGGCGGGAATAAAGGGCGTCTGCAGGAAGTCATGGTATCCGTGCAGCTGGCTGCGATGGACAGGAACAGGAGAAACATCATCAAACAGAGGAGAAGTCTGTTGTGCGGAGGACCTACCTAAGATTTCCGGCTGCTGCACCCATGGCGGCGTCCGTGAAGAGTGTCACATAGGTGACATGCTTCAGGGTGCGCTCCCAGGGACGCAAATCCTCGCACGCATCCTTCTCCTCGTAGAAGAGACGCTTGCCCGTCAGCTGCAAGCCCTGCTTGGGCGTCAGCACCAGGTCCCGTCCTGCCCCGACACCTACTATGGCATGCCCCGAATGCAACTGCAAATGGATGGTAGATGCATTGATGGAGGGGTTGCCTCTGGAGGTCAGGTTCTCCTTCAACTTACAAATGCCATGAGAACCAAGCCCAGAAGGCAGCCAAGATTCCTCCTCATTGTCTCCGACTCCGGCAATCACACATCAACCGAAAAGTACACAAATAATAGTAAGAAAAAAACAAAACAAAAATATTCAAATATATTTTTGGAGACGGATACGTTGTCGTTGCGTTTGAGCAGCGCGCGCTTGAAAGACCGACTGAAACGCGTCCCCGATTTGCGCTCGCTAATAATCAAGCGGGAGACGATGCTGCCGCTGTTGCTGCCACTGCTGCTGCTGCTGCTGCTGCTGCTACTTCTGGTGTCTGCCTTGTGGTATCCGCCATTTGGAGCTGCCTGCTTTCATTGGGGCAGCCAAGCGATGCGTCGCCGCCAGCAGGCGTACGTTTTGTTTATTTGCGCAATACGCGGCCGACTGTGCTTAGTTTATTTTTTTTTTGCATAGAGAAGAGCGGATTTATGCA